GAACGGTCATGGATTCTGTTCCTTGTAAATTACTGCTGCAGTCGGGTGAGAACCAAGTGTTTCCATATGTGAACAGGAACTAAGAAAAACAGCTTTGTTTGTGAAGCTTGACCACTGTACATTTAGCAATTTATTAATATTATTTTGAGAAGCTTTCAGAACCCTAAGAAGAGTATAATCTATGTTTTTGAAGAAGTTGCCCTTTTTGTAAATGTTTTATAGTGTCAAAGTCACTTTTGCTTCTTTTCAAATGTATTCACTGTCAGTCACTTGTAAAAGACTCAAGTTATTGACACATCCTGCTGAGCCATTCATTTTATAATCCTCACACACACAAAAAAACAAGCATTACGAAACATGGCGCCACAGATATTCATGGCCAAGTCATAAATTTAGTTGAGATAGAGTTTGCCATTCTCATGAACTCTTTACCTAGTAGGCCTAACACAAACACAGTCATTCATCTCTTTCAATAACACAGGCACTTACCTTCCCCGCAAGCTCAGACTGACAGAGTGCCTGGCTGTCAATGGTTTCACGAATACATGCCATAATATCCAGTTGAGCTGAAGCCAATCATTGCATGCTAATATGAATCTTCCTCCAAGATATAATTAGGAAGGACAAAGCATTTGACTATACAACACTGACAGAAAAGAAATTTTTTTATAGCCTAGTAATTAAAACAATGACAGGGTGATTAACTTGTTTGAGCTCTCCTCGTTGTCGTGCATGACACTGAAAATCCTTGCAGTCATGTTTTGGGGAATGATGAAAGCATTCTTCTGGCAATCCCTCAAACAAGCCAAATCCATTGGTGGCATGGGCTGAAACGGCAGGGGCTTATCATCGCCTTTGTGTCTTGTCATGTTGTTTGGGAAAGCTAAGCCTCCATCTTCTCTGCAATACGCCACTCAGGTATTTGTGAGCTGACCATATTTTAATGCCAAATACATTCTAAGACTTTGGATTGTTGATCATTTCCCAACTCTGTCTTGATTTGATAGTGGCTGTGGAGCGATACGGTTGGGAAATGTGAGGAATGTCCTACATTTAGATTTCTACAGCAGTATTCAGTGCAAGGATTAATTTGTCGCCAATACACGCCGGTTCCTTTCTTTATTGACTGGAAAGGAGATGAGGAAACACTGCAAATAAATATTACACAATAAGAGTAAAATCACAGAGATGTCAATATGTGTGTCTTATTGCTGGGTACAGAATTAAATATGCCTCATGAACATTTTCAATCTAATAACTATTCATTCACTTTTTACTTGTCTGTCTACGTGTCTGTATCCATTCATTCAGCAGATCTGTAGCCTCAAGCCTCAAAACTCTGCTCTACTGGACTCATAGATTTACTTTACTCTGCTGAGCTCTGCTGAATTTTACTCTGCAATACTCTACTCTTCAGAACTCTACTCTACTGAGCTCTAGTCTACTGCACTCTGCTTTTTTCTAGTCTAGTATACTCTGATATACTCCACTGAGCTCTAGGCTACTGCACTGTATAGAGGTCTGCTCAACTGAGGCTACTGCACACCAATCTACAGAGCTCTACTCTACTGAGCTCTAGTCTACTGCACTCTGCTTTTTTCTAGTCTAGTATACTCTGATATACTCCACTGAGCTCTAGTCTACTGCACATTACTCTGCAATACTGTACTCTTCAGAGCTCTACTCCACTGAACTCTAGTTTACTGCACTCTATAGATCTCTACTCCACTGAACTCTAGTTTACTGCACTCTATAGATCTCTACTCCACTGAACTCTAGTTTACTGCACTCTATAGATCTCTACTCCACTGAACTCTAGTTTACTGCACTCTATAGATCTCTACTCCACTGAACTCTAGTTTACTGCACTCTATAGATCTCTACTCTACTGAACTCTAGTCTACTGCACTCTATAGATCTCTACTCCACTGAACTCTAGTTTACTGCACTCTATAGATCTCTACTCCACTGAACTCTAGTCTACTGCACTCTATAGATCTCTACTCTACTGAACTCTAGTTTACTGCACTCTATAGATCTCTACTCTACTGAACTCTAGTTTACTGCACTCTATAGATCTCTACTCTACTGAACTCTAGTTTACTGCACTCTATAGATCTCTACTCTACTGAACTCTAGTCTACTGCACTCTATAGATCTCTACTCCACTGAGCTCTAGTCTACTGCACATTACTCTGCAATACTGTACTCTTCAGAGCTCTACTCCACTGAACTCTAGTCTACTGCACTCTATAGATCTCTACTCCACTGAACTCTAGTCTACTGCACTCTATAGATCTCTACTCCACTGAACTCTAGTTTACTGCACTCTATAGATCTCTACTCCACTGAACTCTAGTCTACTGCACATTACTCTGCAATACTGTACTCTTCAGAGCTCTACTCCACTGAACTCTAGTCTACTGCACTCTATAGATCTCTACTCCACTGAACTCTAGTTTACTGCACTCTATAGATCTCTACTCCACTGAACTCTAGTCTACTGCACATTACTCTGCAATACTGTACTCTTCAGAGCTCTACTCCACTGAACTCTAGTCTACTGCACTCTATAGATCTCTACTCCACTGAACTCTAGTTTACTGCACTCTATAGATCTCTACTCCACTGAACTCTAGTCTACTGCACTCTATAGATCTCTACTCTACTGAACTCTAGTCTACTGCACTCTATAGATCTCTACTCTACTGAGCTCTAGTCTACTGCACTCTGCTTTTTTCTGGTCTAGTATACTATGATATTCTCCACTGAGCTCTAGTCTACTGCACATTACTCTGCAATACTGTACTCTTCAGAGCTCTACTCCACTGAACTCTAGTTTACTGCACTCTATAGATCTCTACTCCACGAAGCTCTACTCACCTCTACTGAGCTTGTCTATAACTCTGCTTTTTTTCTAGTCTACAATACTCTAATATACTCCACTGAGCTCTAGTCTACTGCACACTACTCTTCAGACCTCTAGTCTTCTCTACTGAGCTCTAGTTTACTGTACTTTACAGAGTTTTTCTTTATTCTGTGCTACTCTACTGAGCCCCAGTCTACTGAGCTCCACAAAGCAGTTTACATTTTCAAATGCTCATTTAGCTGACGCTTTTATCCAAAGCGACTTACAATTGCTATATACACTCACCTAAGGATTATTAGGAACACCTGTTCAATTTCTCATTGATGCAATTATCTAATCAACCAATAACATGGCAGTTGCTTCAATGCATTTAGGGGTGTGGTCCTGGTCAAGACAATCTCCTGAACTCCAAACTGAATGTCAGAATGGGAAAGAAAGGTGATTTAAGCAATTTTGAGCGTGGCATGGTTGTTGGTGCCAGACGGGCCGAGTATTTCACAATCTGCTCAGTTACTGGGATTTTCACGCACAACCATTTCTAGGGTTTACAAAGAATGGTGTGAAAAGGGAAAAACATCCAGTATGCGGCAGTCCTGTGGGCGAAAATGCCTTGTTGATGCTAGAGGTCAGAGGAGAATGGGCCGACTGATTCAAGCTGATAGAAGAGCAACTTTGACTGAAATAACCACTCGTTACAACCGAGGTATGCAGCAAAGCATTTGTGAAGCCACAACACGCACAACCTTGAGGCGGATGGGCTACAACAGCAGAAGACCCCACCGGGTACCACTCATCTCCACTACAAATAGGAAAAAGAGGCTACAATTTGCAAGAGCTCACCAAAATTGGACAGTTGAAGACTGGAAAAATGTTGCCTGGTCTGATGAGTCTCGATTTCTGTTGAGACATTCAGATGGTAGAGTCAGAATTTGGCGTAAACAGAATGAGAACATGGATCCATCGTGCCTTGTTACCACTGTGCAGGCTGGTGGTGGTGGTGTAATGGTGTGGGGGATGTTTTCTTGGCACACTTTAGGCCCCTTAGTGCCAATTGGGCATCGTTTAAATGCCACGGCCTACCTGAGCGTTGTTTCTGACCATGTCCATCCCTTTATGGCCACCATGTACCCATCCTCTGATGGCTACTTCCAGCAGGATAATGCACCATGTCACAAAGCTCGAATCATTTCAAATTGGTTTCTTGAACATGACAATGAGTTCACTGTACTAAAATGGCCTCCACGGTCACCAGATCTTAACCCAATAGAGCATCTTTGGGATGTGGTGGAACGGGAGCTTCGTGCCCTGGATGTGCATCCCACAAATCTCCATCAACTGCAAGATGCTATCCTATCAATATGGGCCAACATTTCTAAAGAATGCTTTCAGCACCTTGTTGAATCAATGCCACGTAGAATTAAGGCAGTTCTGAAGGCGAAAGGGGGTCAAACACAGGATTAGTATGGTGTTCCTAATAATCCTTTAGGTGAGTGTATATGCCAGAGGTCGCACGCCTCTGGAGAAACTAGGGGTTAAGTGTTTTGCTCAGGGACATGTCACAGTGGGAATCAAACCTCTCCCACACCAAAAGCAAGTGTCTTATCCACCCCTTATACAGAGCTCTATTCTTTGATACTGAGTTCAAGTCTACTGTGCTGTACTGTACTCTAGTGAGCTCAGGTCTACTATACTTGACTATACAAAGCTCTACTCTGCTCCTGAAATCCCCTCGCAGATGAAAGTGCCCTCTATACTTTTTATTATGAATCTAATGCACTTGGACCTTGCACTTCTGCCCTCATGGGCAGGCCAAGATAAAGTTATCTCTCTGCTCAACTGTTGGCCTCCTGGTGTGTGGGCGGCCTGAGAGGAATCAAGAAACAGATGGAGGCAAATACACATGGGAACTGTCTTATATCTTTGAGCCAGTGGGACGACTGATCCCCTTCAGTCATTCCTTCCCTCAATCCATTTCCTTTTAGTGTCTTCCAGTGAAACACGTTCATCTCAGTGTGACATAATTAAGACTGAGGTGGTAGACAACATTACTTTTAATTAAAACTGCCACAGCAATTTGTTGTATTCTTGCAAGAGTAATGTTGAATATTCCCTCTGTCCCTCTGCTTATTAGATAATCTTTCAAAGACCTGCACTGAGGATGGCTGGACTCCAATCAGCATAGACTCCTACATAATGGACTGTGGATACAATCCCAACAGCACCATGGATGATAATACGGTTGGTATGGTAATCAGGGTTTCGACACTCATCCAGTCCCATGTTGCGACTACTGCTCTGGCTTCATGTTCAACACCAGATGAACTGTTTTCAGTGAGTGTAACTGAATGTGTTTTTGCAGGGAGAGTTCTTTGGCGCCATCAAAATGGGTTACACCATTGGTCACAGCGTGTCGCTCATTTCTCTGATGATCGCCATCATCATACTGTGTCTTTTTCGGTAAGGAGATCAATCAAAATGCTATTTAATGTCCCAGCATAAAGATAAATAAACATCTTTTTTCCATCATTTAGAGTGATAAACCCTGTCCATCTCTCATTTCACACCATACTTCCTGCATTTTATAGAGGTTTTACAGTGTTTTTCACACAGTAATGTGACTGCTAGATTTTGTGGGACAAGTCCAAATTTAACATTATCTGCTGTTGCAACATTTCTCAAACAAAGTGTTCATGTGCATGAGCCATAAAGTCAAACCACTTAGACGGACGGCTGTTGTTCACAGCATGTTTCCTTTTGACCTTCAGTCCTGGGGTTGCAGAGAAACATTAAGTGTGTGTGTGCATGTTGGCATGACACAGCACAGATCATTAGAATAAGTTTAACTGGCTGGTGTTTGTGGCTTCTTATACAGAACCCAGTCTGTTCAATTGGGTGTGTTTGCATTTGGAGTGTTTATGTGTTACAGGCTAAACAACAAGAGATGTGTTTACTCCTCTGGCTTATAAAATGCCAATGGTCTGGACTCTTGAGCAGAGACACAGGATGTGAACAGTGTTTACTGTTTATGTTCAGCTGCAGATGCTGTGTTCAGGCAGCTGGTTCATGCTGTGTGTCATCACACCCGTCCTGCTGGGATGACTCGCCTGATGGGTTTACACAATTCATCCCCAATCATAAGCTCACTGGGAAGGCATTTGTTTGAGAACACCCAGAAGAGAGAATTTACATTAGTGGCATTTTCTCTGCAAAATCCCTTGATTTATTCTTGTTTACCTGTGTGTGAATGTCAAGTCAGGGTTTCTGCTTGATAAATATATGTTTCACTGAAAAACTATATCCATATAAAGTATGAAACGTACACATAGCTTTTCTTGACAATTGCAGGGTTTGTAGCTTGACATTTAGGTTACAGCACAGTAGGAGCACATTACATGACAATTGTCATACAGTAAGTGCTTATAATGACTACTCTCCTCAGTTAAAATACACATTCTTTCTGTGAATGTTTGCCTCCATAAATTAAGTCTGTGGAGTTTCTGGTGAATGTTTTCACGATATATGTTCCAGTTGTATGCTTTGGTGCCATAAACACACACTTTATCAGATATTTTTCAGGACAGGTCATGTAAACAGTTCATTTGAGATCTTTAATCAGCGGGAATTCATTAAGTGAATGATGAATGTTGCTTTTTCTTGTTGATTTAAATCATCTAACTGTTTATTTGTCTTCTTTTATAGGAAGCTGCACTGCACAAGAAACTACATCCATATGCATCTTTTTGTGTCTTTCATACTGAAAGCTGTAGCCGTTTTCATGAAGGACATGGTTCTGTATGATGTCGGGGAGACTGACGATTGCCAGTCATCTGTGAGTGCGCTGCACACTCTGTGCTCCTGATATAAAGGCTCCCATCTCACTCACCAACATGTCCATTTTATTTTAGCGGAGCTGGACATTTTATTGATTTTCTTCCTTTCATAATCAAAAGCCCCACATCATAGATCAAATTAACTCATCCATCTGATGTACAAGCAGCAGCTGGTGGTTAGTTTCTGTACTTAAATGAGGCGAACTCCATCTATTGAATCACTCACTCAGACTTTACTGACTTTATTGCTTTGTCTCTGAGTTTACTTAACATCCGAACGCTCAAGTGCTTGTGGGTGTAGCAGTGTTTGCCAAGTCCCTTCCACTCCTGAGACGACGTTTCCTCATTCATCTGTCCAGCAGGATGTTGTGAGAGTTCCTATTTGCTGAACATTATGCCTGAACTACAGAGAGCTTTGTCAATAAATCATATTCATAGTTTTGATATCTAGTTTTAATCACGTTTCAGCAACATGATCTTAGCGAAAACATGAAAGTCTAACTAAGTGCTACATTAAGATACGGAGTTGGATAAGCTATTGAATTGGGTACAGTTTGATATAATGAGGCTATTTTATTCTTTTTTGATTGATCAAGTCACCAATGTCAGTGTCTCAGATCTTGGTCCAGCTGAATCCACTGCTTTATTACCAGAGAGGAGTAGATCAGCAGCAGATTATAAATCACCTGTTTAATTCATCTCTTAACTGCTGATGGTTAATGGCTGAGTTTAGATATTTCCTCTTCACGGTACACAGATTGTCCCAGTCCAAACACAGCTGCATCCCCTCTCAACTGTTTCTAAACTCAAACAACACATTAAAAAAGAAAAAAAAACTTTTGTAGAAAGCAACATATTAAAGGGGAACTTCAACGATTTTAGGTCATTATTAGTCATATGCACAACATATTTAGTGAAGCAGTCGTTAATGAATTTCTTGTTCTCTGGCTCCAATGCTCATATAAAATGTAGAAAAGAAAATCACTAAAGTATATATATATAATACTGAGGTAGACATCAAGATCAATTTACTCGTCATGAATAACAGTAATAACTGTGAATACTCTCTATATACTCTATAGAGAGCCAAAGTGAAACCAGAAAACCTCATTCAAAATCACATTGACATTTCTAATGACCCACATCACTTACTGAAATTCAGGATCTCTCTGCCAGCTTCTTCCATTTTAACAATCTTTTATTTGAATATATATTCTGCCCCTTCGAATGAGAAAATTTAGGGCATTTAGCAGACGGTTTTGTCCAAAGTGACTCACAATAAGTACATTATGTAACACATATACCATATCTAACTTTTGAAAAATAGAAATAAAACAATTTTCCTCTTACAAATGATATGATGATTGATGCTTTTGGTACGTTAGCTAATGGTGGCTACATATTTCTTTATGAGTGAATTTGCTGACTTTATAACTCCTCTCATTTTTAGTTATACTTCATTTAGTAGTTGTCCCTTATGCAATGATAAGCACTCGTGGCCTCGCTTGTGGTCTCAGTGGCCATTGTTCAGGAAATGTCACATAGTCTCGCTTTAAGCTATTCAGTAACTGTTGCAGGGCAGATGTCGCGGTGGATCAGTATGCTACTTACTGTGTATCTTCAAAGTTGCACCTATAGCCACCAACAAGATCATCCCATGGCATTGTGAGGGGCTTTAGATAAAAAAAACCTCAAATAAATCTCAGATACACTTTGATTGTGTATTTAATTAGTACGGCAGTCATAATCAGCACAACCACAAGGAGACCCCTATAGAATTTGGTCTAATTATGTCACGTGATGTTTGTCCGATTGTTGTTTTGATGTGTTTAGATTGTATATTTTAATATAATTGATATTTTACTAAATGTATCTTAATTTTTTAGTGCTATGTACTATGTAATCTTTTTTAGGGTGACTCTTAACATCTGTCTAGGGACTGCAGATGAAAAATAGCCTTTAGGCTAATTCTGGCATATTGACAGAAATGTTTATGAATATGCACTGTCCCTGTAATAAATAAATAAACAAACAAACAAACATGCTCATTGTGCGATACCCTCACTGCTGCTTCTAATAAGTGACTTGTCAAACCGAATCATTCAACCAATCAACAGAATCATTTTCTTGTAATTGAGTCATTAATACTAATTTTAGAGAGATTTACTAAAAACATTTTCTGCGAAGCCTCTACTGGCAACAACATTTGTTTTAATCACTTGAATTGTAATGAAATTGCATTTATCTACATTCACTGGCAATGCAATAAGTCCCTAACATCCTCGTTCTTCTGCAGGTGGGCTGCAAGGCAGTGGTGGTCTTCTTCCAGTATGGGATCATGGCAAGTTTCTTCTGGCTGCTGGTGGAGGGCCTCTACCTCCACACTCTGTTAGCTGTTTCCTTCTTCTCTGAGAGGAAGTACTTCTGGTGGTACATCCTGATTGGTTGGGGTATGTGCTAGCCTCTTTGCCATATGTTGATGAATACAAATAGCTCACACAAGAAGATTTGATCCATCCATTTGTCTGAATTGGTGCCAGAAATCATCAATTATCCACTGAGTTACAATCACCAGGCAGCCTGAATGTCTGTTTAATCTTTACATCAACACAACATACATGGTCATATGTAAATTAATGTATAAGTGAGGTTTTATACATCCACAGGAAAATACTGTGCACTCCCAGCTGCATATCAATGAGTCTTGCTGGCAGCGTTTAGATTATCAGCAGCAGGCAGCTGCCACTTCACTCTTGTTGTTATAATTCAGTCTAAAAGTCCTCCTTTTAACAAATTCATGCATCTGTAGAACTTATGAATAAAATTAATTCATAGACTCGGACTTTTGATATCTTAAATGGATAGATACATTCGGCGCAAAATACATATATTCATCTAGACGTTTTGGCTGAGCCTTTGAGGACTCATATTATTATATATATATATATATATATATATATACATTTATATATATATATATATATATATATATATATATATATATATATATATATATATATGTATATATGTATATATATATATATATATATATAATATATATATATATATATATATATATATATGTATGTACTAAAATGTATAATCAACAACAACCATTCCCCACATTTCTGATGTTCCTTTTTCCATCACACTAATAAAGTAACTCTATATATAGCCCTGAAATGTTGTGTCTGCCAGCAGGAAAGTGAAGATACCCAGGATGAGACAATATTGGCACAGAGCACATATGAGTCCAGTTAAAAATGATAAGCATACCCAAAATGCAATATTACTTTAGCTATAAAATCATCCAAACAGTTTACACACGCTCAAGGCTCACTGTCATAATTGGTGGTGAACAGAATTGTCACGATTTGAGGTGAGCGCAGAGGAGGTGAGAGCCGAAATGCGAGACACTAGAGCTTAGATTAAGGGACTAAGGAGCAGGGCGGGAGCAACACAAGTGACAGGGATCAAGGTTAACGAGGCAGGCAGAGAGACAGTAGGGAAAACAAAGAGACAGGCAGGAAGAGTGATAACTGGGGTAACAGACAACCTTGGTTACTGGACACTAAACACAGACATAAACTAAGACACAGAACCAAAATGCAGAACTAAACCTAAGATACATGACAGACTGGTACAAGGTGAGCTAAAAGAACCTGCAAATGAACAATGAAATAAACAAGGCTAAACAGAGAACACAAGACAAGGAACAAACCTCCAACAGAAAACATGGACCAACTGTTACACAGACCGGGGTAAGGAACAGAGACAGAACTAACCAGGAAACAGGACAACACTCAACTAGAAACAGAATGGAAACAAGGAAAATACCAAAACACCACTAAACACTAGCTGACAGATAACTAGATGATTAATAACCCAGACTAAGTAACAGATACCAAACTGATCAATAAGTAACCTCACAGTGAACTAAACTCAACAGAACAGAACTGAAATGTAGATGCAAAACCCAAATCTTAGAATCAAGAACACAGAGTGAATAAGGGAGACAAGATAACAGACTAGGATAACAGAACAAAAACAGATTAACACAGAACCAAACAGACAACCAAACTTAAACATGGCCAACAGGCAGAATGTGACAAGATTAGTTTCTCTCTGAGATTATTTTAATGTTGAAATAACTTACAACAAATTATCTTTACGTTTCTTGTTTGCAGGGGCTCCAACCATCTTTATCTCAGCTTGGGTGATTACGAAGGCATATTTAAATCATCCGGGGTGAGTTAGCCATTTGTCTTTGTTTTAATCTTATTGATTAAATTTACTTACAACTGATTTTAAATGGGTACATTTGCAGATACACACTAAAAAATAATACCTTTGTTAGGGTGAGGATTAATAGCTAGTCTCAGTGGAGTGCTCGTGAACTATTTATCTGCAATGTCTGCAACACAGAAAGTAATTACCTCTGAGTGTTTCATGGCCCTAAAAGCTAAAATGCTGTAACTGCACACAGAGTTTTTGAAATGGGTTTTACCATATACTAATTTTTTACAGTATGTGTTAGTATTTATAATTTTCTTTTTTAAAAACTCTAGTTTGATACTCTGTTGGCTCTAAAACCTACCAAGCAGCTAAAGCTATGCTAAGTTTAAGCTAGCTAGTGTGAGATAACCAGCCTTAGCTAAATTAATCCTACATCTTTCCTGTAATTGAAAACATTTGTTTTGTTTATCTGACATGTTACTTTTACAGTGTTGTATCCCACATAAATTAGGCAGTAGCTAAACAAAATTTTAAAAATTTACCAATAGATAAGTAGCTTAGCTTAGCAAAGCACGTTAGCATCACATCCTCTGACTCTACTGAAAGTCATGTGATTCAGTGTGGTTAAGCTACTTTGAAATTGCATATTTAAATATATTAAATTATAGCTTTATTTTGAAGACATTTTGTTTGTAGATAGGCTACTGTTTTCCCTGCACCCCTTTGATTGTCTAAAGGTAGAGTGCAGTACACAGTTTGTTTTTCCCCATCTTCAGTTTCTGAAATTACTGCTCTCTGTCTTTATAGCACCATTCAAGGGTTTGTTTTATCCTAATAAGTTTTTTATTTTTTATTTTGTGAGAATTCATTTATATTTGCTCTCTTATCTCTAGATGCTGGGAGATAATCGATGACAGACCATGGTGGATCATCAAAACACCGATTTTAGTTGCCATACTAGTGAGTCTCGGTGTCATTTCAAGAGTAACATTTCATATACAGATAATGCAGATTAACCAGTCTTACTCTCTCTTCAGGTGAACTTTTTCCTCTTCATCTGTATAATCCGGATTTTACGACAGAAGATGAATTGCCCCGACATCGGAAGAAAGGAATCCAATCAGTACTCGTAGGTTTTCCGTGCAGAATGTCAACATCTCTGTCATAGCATTGGGTTACAGGTGACAAGTGAAGAAATGAAGTTATGTTGTTGTGGGTGACAAGTGTTGCCTTGACTCTAGCTTTTTTGGGTTTTAACAAGGGTGAACACTAGTCTTCTCTTCTCTTTTTTAGGAGACTGGCTAAATCCACTCTGTTGTTGATACCTCTCTTTGGCATAAACTACATCATTTTTGCCTTCATCCCTGACCACATCCATCCACATGTGAGGATGGTGTTCGATCTTATCCTGGGGTCATTTCAGGTAACGTCTCAAAATAGCATACAAGGCAGTCTGTCTGCAAAATTACGACTTTCCCCATGTCACACACAGTCACACACAAGCAGCACTGCATATTGATACTTTTTTGACTAAGCTGCTACAGGATTGCCATCTTGTGTTTTGGCACCAGAAAAACCTTTGATTAAGTGAAGTTACATGAAAACATCTTGGTAGCATGAAGACGGTTTGTCTGATTAAGCAAGTGAATGGTTTGTTTAGCTGACGTGTTTAATTTTTGTATGCTTGAATAATGACATTTTTTGATTTACTGAGTATTAAATTGAATGTGAACACTGAGAGCCAAGTCCAGTGATGGAAACCTAGCGATGGAAAGTATTCTTATTTTGGAACCGTTTTAGCTCAGAACGATATCTTCTGGGAACATTTCCCAGCGATCTAAATGATGAATCTTCTGTATGAGCCTGAAGTTGCTCCTAATCTTTCCATCATTATTCACACAAAAACGCTTTGGGTGTTTCCCCAGCTGTACTATCATACTGGTATGTCTTTTCAAGTTATTGTTGGGCTGTAAGTGATATCTACGTCTCTATTCTTCAGGGATTTGTTGTTGCAGTTTTGTACTGCTTTGTGAATGGAGAGGTGAGTAAATTCAAACAAAAAACAGCTCTTTAAGATGTGTACTCCAATATGTCATACCCTCTTAATGCCCCCTTTTCATCCTGTTTGTCCACCGTCTCGTCTCTCCTGCAGGTACAGGCGGAGATTAAGCGTAAGTGGCGGAGATGGATGCTGCAGAGGTTCCTGGGCGCTGACACTAAGTACCAGCAACCCTCCATGGGCAGCAATGGAAACAACTTCAGCACCCAGATCACTATGTTTACCAAATGCAGCCCTACAACACGCCGGGCATCAGCATGTCAGGAGCACTTCTCTGCCATCTGAAACCCATGTGAAGTTAACTCTCCTATTTGTTTTTATCATTATGTAGTTAATGCATGGCTCACATGCACTGTTGCAATGCAATTGATATTGGTTACTGAAGGTCAATTTGACATTTTAGTAGTGAAACTAATATTTGTTCCTTGTTAGTTTATCCCTCACCCTCACCAAATGACAGGTGATGAGTGTTGTTCTTGCCAGGGTGGAAAGTCATCTGAAACTTCTTTTGAAACTTAGCACCTGTTTAGTAAATGGGTTAAATATTTACCTATACCTAAGAATTAATTTCCAAGAAAACACAACAAAGGAAATTGTCATTTTCTCAGGCTGTTCCAATGTAGCTTTGATCAGGAAACAACTTCCATTGTACTGGAGGTTGACCGCATTTTTACATAAAGACCAGTGTCACACTGAGATATATATACTATATATATACACACAGGTGCTGGTCATATAATTAGAATATCATCAAAAGTTGATTTATTTCAGTAATTCCATTCAAAAAGTGAAACTTGGATATTATATTCATTCATTACACACAGACTGATATATTCCAAATGTTTATTTCATTTAATTATGATGATTAAAACTGACAACTAATGAAAATCCCAAATTTCAGTATCTCCAAAAATTTGAATATTACTTAAGACCAATACAAAAAAAGGATTTTTAGAAATGTTGGCCAACTGAAAAGTATGAACATGAAAAGTATGAGCATGTACATCACTCAATATTAGGGCTCCTTTTGCCTGAATTACTGCAGCAATGCGGCGTTGCATGGAGTCAGTCTGTGGCACTGCTCAGGTGTTATGAGAGCCCAGGTTGCTCTGATAGTGGCCTTCAGCTCTTCTGCGTTGCTGGGTCTGGCGTATCGCATCTTCCCCATAGATTTTCTATAGGGTTAAGGTCAGGCGAGGTCATGCTGGCCAATTAAGAACAGGGATACCATGGTCCTTAAACCAGGTACTGGTAGCTTTGGCTCTGTGTGCAGGTGCCAAGTCCTGCTGGAGAATGAAATCTGCATCTCCATAAAGTTGGTCAGCAGCAGGAAGCATGAAGTGCTCTAAAACTTCCTGGTAGACGGCTGCGTTGACCTTGGACCTCAGAAAACACAGTGGACCAACACCAGCAGATGACATGGCACCCCAAACCATCACTGACTGTGGAAACTTTACACTGGACTTCAAGCAACGTGGATTCTGTGCCTCTCCTCTCTTCCTCCAGACTCTGGGACCTTGATTTCCAAAGGAAATGCAAAATTTACTTTCATCAGAGAACATAACTTTGGAGCACTCAGCAGCAGTCCAGTCCTTTTTGTCTTTAGCCCAGGCGAGACGCTTCTGATGCTGTGTCTTGTTCAAGAGTGGCTTGACACAAGGAATGCGACAGCTGAAACCCATGTCTTGCATACGTCTGTGCGTGGTGGTTCTTGAAGCACTGACTCCAGCTGCAGTCCACTCTTTGTGAATCTCTCCCCACATTTTTGAATGGCTTTTTTTTCACAATCCTCTCCAGGGTGCGGTTATCCCTATTGCTTGTACACTTTTTTCTACCACATCTTTTCCTTCCCTTCGCCTCTCTATTAATGTGCTTGGACACAGAGCTCTGTGAACAGCCAGCCTCTTTAGCAATGACCTTTTGTGTCTTGCCCTCCTCGTGCAAGGTGTCAATGGTCGTCTTTTGGACAGCTGTCAAGTCGGCAGTCTTCCCCATGATTGTGTAGCCTACAGAACTAGACTGAGAGACCATTTAAAGGCCTTTGCAGGTGTTTTGAGTTAATTAGCTGATTAGAGTGTGGCACGATTCTAATTTTCAGAGATACTGATTTTGGGGTTTTCATTAGTTGTCAGTTATAATCATCAAAATTAAAAGGAATGACCACTTGAAATATATCAGTCTGTGTGGAATGAATGTATACATTATACAAGTTTCACTTTTTGAATGGAATTACTGAAACAAATCAACTTTTTGATGATATTCTAATTATATGACCAGCACCTGTATATGCAAACTGTGTCCTTCTTAGGACAGTGTAAAGCTTTATTGAGATCACATGATGAGTCCACCTGACCTGGCTACTGACAAGGTGTTGAAAAACAGTTCTCAGAGTAACATTAGTCTTTTATAGGTAGCGCAATACAGAATACTGCAATGAGAAAGATCTTCATGACCACTATGTGAAGTAAAGGGAAATGGAGCTCTTGGCCAGCATTTTCCATTTGATGTTAAGCAAGGGATAGAGCCAGAGACAAGCTGTGACCTATAAGAAGTAAGATGTTCATTAAAAGGGTGTGTTACACAAGAGAACTCCAGGCACTTAGCCTAATGGCCCCATGTTGCTTAGGGGACCAATGGTAACAACATTAATGACATTGTCAGGCTGTCATGAACAGTAGTCACTGAGAAGGGATCTATGGCAAAACCAGCATACTGGACGTTCCTATCCTGTCTATGACAGTTTTATACGGGGCATACACTTTGCTGAATTACTGCCGGATGACATTCCAGAGGAGACACGAAAGCTCTCGCTTGTGAAATTTATCTCAGATTACAAAGGCTTTTAGTTTTGTCTGAGTGCACAATCGCTCACCAGACGTTCATTTTTGCTATTTCTGCGACTAATGGATCAGATGTATTCCATTATTAGTCTACAACATTGTGAATAAACGTGATTATCTTCCATTAACTGGATTGCATGACAATTGCTTTAATTGCTTTAATTGTTTTTTTTATTCTATTCTATATTGACGGATTAAATAAATATTATTGTACCATGTTGTACAATAACATTTATTTGCTCTATTGATGTTGATGACATGTTGGTCAGTTGGCCCACTACTTTGGTCCAGACTGAAATATGTCAACAACTATGACAGTTATGGTCCACAGAGGATGAATCCTAGTGACTTTGATGATCCTTAGACTTTTTCAGAGTTCAGACATTCATGGTTCCAAACCCAGATTGTAATTACTATGGTTATGCCTTAACTTTTTTTAGTGCTGTCAACGTGTAACAATTTGAATGTGTCCACTTTGATTGATGACTAAATACCTGCAAAATTAATGACATTCCCATCAGCTTCAGCTGCACGTTGTGTTTAGTGCTAATTAGCAAATGCTAGCTTGCTAACACACTAAACTAAGATAGTGAACATAAATATGTAAAAAAAAAATATATATATATATATATAAGTAAATATTATACCATCTTAACATCAGCATGTTAGAATTGTCATTGTGAGCATGTTAGCATGCTGGCATTAAAGTCAAAGGTTAGCCTCTCAAAGGTGCTAGCTTGGCTGTAGATTCTTGTTCATGTTTGATTTAATAAGATTTATCAAGCTAAATGACATGATGGATGTTGCTCTCGCTCTAATAATGCAGACCTTTCTTTTAAGTGACCTCTTGCTCAAAAAGGTCTTTTCAGACGTTAATATGTACATGCAGTGACAGTGTCATGTTTCACGTGGGAGTCACGTTAAAGATTGGTGTTTACTTTATATCCCCTTTTTGTTGTACCAGTGTGTGTAAAACAGAAACTAACTGAAAGTACCTCAGACTAATTGTCACACACAGCTGTTGTATATATTGTTCAAGTGTAAATATGGCAAGAAAATTGTTTTATGATGTGTTTTGTGGTGACTTATAGTACTCAGGTGTCGACTGGAAATCGATGTTTACATTTAAAACTCTACGTTCCTCACTCATGGTGAGGCTATTTTGTATGATATCAGTAAAGTGTCTCTTTTTTTGTTGACATGTAAATGTTGTGTAGCTGTTGGTGTACTGTACAGTATGTGTAATCAGCTGTAAACATGTTATTGAACAAAATGTCAGATGAAAAAGAATAAAACTATTTGCACTGTAGACAGGCCTCATGTGTAGTTCCAACTGAAAGTGAGACTTAATGCATTTAATGCAATACAATCAACCCTTATTTTTACTTCTGCTTTAAATAAAGAAACAGGTAATAAAGACAATTTATGAAATACTATAACAAAAAACAGATGTACAAATCAACATTTTAGTTTTTCATAAAATAAATTTGGTGTGTGATTCTAACTCATGTTGTTCTCCTCTACCCCGACTTAGACTTGCATAGTATTTAGTATGTATCTGTCTCCCCCTGCTGTAAAACATGAGACAAAACCATTTGAAGCTGATATATCATTTTTTCTTCCTCGGAGACAATTAATAGCTACCATGAAACATTCTGTACCCTAAGCCAATTTTGGGCCAATATCCATAATGAGTACACTCATTTACTTCAATGCTAGTATTACATCATTAGCCTCATGACACCAGTTATAACTTGGTGAGACGCAGAGTGTTGAGACGCACTGGAAGAATAGTGGATCCCTCCGCATAACTAATCTCTCGCAAAATCCCATTCCAGCACTTCTCTGGCTCATCATACCTGTGGGAAACATACACATATGTTAGCGTTTGGTGCCCTTATAGCATTAAAAGATAGAAAACACTAATAACAAATGCAATCTCAACACCTTTCATCTACAAAGAATTTGGTGTTGCTCCATTCATTTTTGGAGTTAAGGATTATTATTTTCCCACCCATTTGAGACTAATGAACTATGTATATGTGTATAGAAATAGACCCTTTTCACAGAATACATTTTGACTTATCACAGCAGGAAAGCTACATTAATAATGATGGTACAGTGGAGGTCACAAAACTTCAGCCTTTAACAACATTTTGCATTTTGGGGAGTCTATTTTCAGCTGCGTATTATTACACATTTGGTGCTTCAGTGAGCATGAAAAGAGATTCCTCTGCGGACACTATATCATGCTTTGTCCATCAGGCAGTACTTGTTAGTATCAATTAATTGCTGGTTTTTGGTCTTTATTTTCTGATCTTATTTGCTGACAATTAGATAAGACTATCACCAGACTTAAACCTGAAGGAAGGGGGCTCTCACCTCCAGATGTCAGTCATCTCTGTTGGGACAGGCTCCTCACTGGTTTCAGTGGGCATCATTGCAAACCCCCCCAAGGCATACAGGAAACCTCCCATCGAGATCAGATTGAGAGAGCTGCGCTCCTGAGGGAACTCTGTGAATTCAGACCACCTAGAGCACAAGAGGACAACACACACACACACACACAGGGAAATGATGAGGGTGTAAAATAAGCTGCTATATTACTTTAAGATAACCTCAGCAGTACAATCAGTGCCATTTTATGACCTAATGATCTGCTATTTACACTCAATGAGTAATTTCACTGCTGTGGACAGACGCTTCACACCATAACGATGAGATAAAGTGGATCATATAAAAAACAGTTGTCTCACTTGTTGGTGGCAATGTCGTAGACCTCCACAGAGCTGGTGAGGCCTGCATCTGTGACCCCCGTCACCACAAAGATCTGGTCTTTGTGGACAGTGATACCAAACAGTGAGCGGGCAGTCTTCAGAGGAGCGAGGTCCTTCCACTCAAACTTAGTGGGGTTGTAGACACAGACTCTTCTCATGCATTTCCTGCAACATTTAAAACAGTGTGTTAAAGTAGCTTTCACTGAATTTATGCATGAAGTTCAGTTGCATTACAATCTGGGGGTGTGGAGTTTAAAAGAGGTGAGCATTTAGGAGGCACGGAGGATCTTATGAACAATGCTGTTGAGTTGAATTACAGGAAATATAGGACATTTTACAGCTTGACAACTACCAGAGATTCAAAGTCAGGATATCTCTGCCTCTGCTGCCTCGATTTTGACCATTGTTTTTTAATATGTCTCCTGTGAGTCCACCAATGGAAGTGCTATTCTAAATCACTGGAGTACACTTTTGAATACTGATTGAGTTAGTTCTTAAATATCACATTTTCTGTGGAATCCAAAGTGACACCTGTTGTTACAAAATTACTGTATTTCAGACTGTGCAGGTAGTGATCCAGAAGTGTCAAATATGTATGAAAAGGCAATCCAGTAAAACCAATAAAATGGTAAAATTTCCTAGAGTTTATTGACGTACTTGCTTTCAGACTTTCCTCCAACGACATAGACAAGGCCTTTGTGCGACACGGTTCCATGGCCATACACTTCATAAGGCAGAGGATCAGACTCTCCCCATTTGAACGACCTGTGTACAAAAAAGAGAACATATCATCATGAATTGACCCTATAGATGATAATGGTGAATCTACAGACTAATGTAGCAATACTTCTAAATAAAAAAATACAGAAATGCTCAGGAGTTCAAGGATGGAATGCCTTTAATGTGACTGCAAGAGTGATTTACGCTTTACTGCATTGAATGAAATTACTGAATATCTGAATGCACGACAAAGGAGGCTTGATTAGTGAACAATACATTTATAGGAAAGACTTCCAAGTGTTTTCATTTAGATAATGGATACAAATTTGACTATTATTAGTAAAGTTCCAATGGTGGTTTAGACATGCACAGAACAAATTTCACAATGCATTTTACTGTGTATGACTGTGTATGTGACACCACTAATTTGATTACATTTGGTATCCACACTTACTGTCTGTCATAGATCATGACTGAGTCCAGGGCGTGCTCGCCTTCCTTCAGTTCCTTTCCTCCAACAACAAAGATAGAGTTTTCAGCTTCAGTCAAGCCAAATAAACATCGAGGGCTGGGTTGTGAGGGCATCCCTAACCATTCTGAACTTACTGGGTCAAACTGTGGATGAAAACAACATTATGTGAAAACATTGCTATGTGAGGAATGAGAGGCACAAGAATTTAGCATCTTAAACCTTCAGCAGTTTAAACCTTCCTTTGCGTTGTACAGGAAGATAAATTAAGAGAAAGTGGTATGTTTCTACTCATGTTCTTTATGACCCGTTCACTACCTGTAGGAAGTAAGAGCTGAATGGTTCGTCTTTGTCCTCCTCGTTGTAGAGTAATCCTCCGACAACAAACACCTGGTTCTGATCGGTCACCAAGCTGCAGTGATTCTTGGGAATTTCTGTAGACTCTGAGGCCACAAAGCATTCATTTCCTACCGGATCGTAGGCCACAGTCCCTGTATCACTGATCATAAGTATCAGGTCCAACTCAAACATCCCAAAGCGAGGGTTGTTGTTAAGTATACCCGGAAGGTAACCTTCCTCATCATCGTCATCCTCTTCACTTCCTTCTCCTCTCTTTGCCCCATCACTGCTGGGCTTCCTGGGATTTGGGAGATGCCCTCTGTGAGCATCCTTGACAAGATCCAGGTCCTTCTTGATCTCCTGGTTGAACCGGATGTACTGGTGACGCTCTACTTTCTCTTTGAAGTAATCCAAAGGTATGAGCCTGAAACGTATGCAGTGCAAAAGCTCTGGCAGGTCCTTAAGCCGGTTTGTCTCATCATGTCTGACCCAGTCCATCAAGGATTCAAATACCATCTCCTCCCGCTCAATGTTGAGGGCGTCTGACGTGATGATGATGGCCAGCTCGCTTGGACCCAACTGCAGGAAGTCCGGGTCCCTGACAACAACCTGGTAGCGTTCACAGATGAACTCCCTAGCAGTCAGAGACAGCCTGGGACAGTCCAGCAGCAGTCCCAACCTGAAGATAGCCAAGCAGTTTCCCAGCACCAGCTTCTCTTGGAGGTAAGACACACATACAGAGAAGATTGAGGGGATCTGGTACATGTTAGCAATCATGAAGATATCCTGGACGTTCTGTTCTGTCAGATTAATGTCAGATGTGTATAAGTAGCGCAGGATCATCCCCATAACACCTGGCTCCACATCTTTGAGGACAATCTCACGCTTCTTGCTCTCCTCCAGGTCGGACAGGAACATGGCCTTGAAGAAGGGGCTGCTGGCTGCCAAAACCAAGCGGTGGCAGGGGAACTCCTTGTCCTGAATTTTGAGAACACAGTCCACAAACCTGTCATTCTCCAAGAGGTCGCACAGTCCGTCCTGAAGCAGAGTCTGTTGGTACATGCGAGGCTGCTCCACAGGGTCTATAGTCAGGGCAGCCATTTTGTTCTGTGTCCTTGTCCCGGTTGGGTTTCGTGGGCACCCTACTTAATCCCCACAACAGAGCAGGACTGCTAGCGTTCTCTCGGCTGTTCAGATCACTGTGGATAGTCTCCACGGGTTGGTTGGCTTGTGGCTGCAGCTGTCCGTGACTGTCACTCACTCTGTAAATCCAGGGTATTTATAGACAGGACCCTCACAAAGCTGAGGAATTCATTTTGGTGGAAAGGGAAGAGGACCTATCCACTCCTGCGCCACACAAACAGCTGAATGACTTCAGCATGTTAAATCCAGCAGAACATCTCAGCAGGCAGCCTGACTGGCTCTTAGTACTTGGATGTTTTCACTGACTTTTTACAAGTTTTTTGTAACTACTGTAATCCAGTATCGACTTGAACAGTGATAGTTAATACACTGGCTTTACTGACACTGAGCAGTTCACCATATTGCATGTACATGTGGAGATACAGGATATGTATAGTTAACAGTAGTTCCTGGAAGATTAGCATGTCATATAATAACCATCCTAGACATTAGCTCAAACACAAACTCATGTATTGGGGGGAAAACACACCAAACATTTAAATCAACAGGGAGTTCCTCTTACATTTATAAAAAAAAAAAAGACATATAAAATTTGATAAAAATTTAAATTCCAAACACTGAACATTACATATAACATGAAATTTCCATTATTCATTGTAATTGTTGAACTATTATTAAAACAAAATCAAAATTATTCATTATGAAATTAATCATGTGTCAGGTCCCTGCGATGGACTGGCGACCTGTCCAGGGTGTACCCCGCCTTTTGCCCGATGTCAGCTGGGATTGGCTCCAGCCCCCCATAACCATGTAAACAGGATAAGCGGTTGAGCATGGATGGATGGATAGATGGATCATGTGTGGGGGTAACAAGTCAAATTGCTCTTATCATTCATTACATATGGAATTAATGAAGATTATGATACATGCTTAGATGTGTTGTATATGTTTAATATGTGTAACCACTTTGAATTATTTAATCCAGAGATACATTCAACAGTGGCACCTAATGGCTGAAAATTATCTGATATTAAAATAGAAGCCAAATCTAATGGGGAAACACAATTTGTGGAAGTCCCACACTTTCACTCATACGTATACTATATATTTTGTTGCTTGATATTTTGTCCATGTAATTTATTCAATTCAATTCAACGATATGACAAGGCCAATGAAAATAAGAATGTCTGCACATAAGAGTGGTATCACGTGAAGAGATATGCCACCTGTGTATAAATAAAGCTGTGCCTGTACCACATTAGTGAGGCACTATACAGGCCATAATTAATGTTATTAATTACACCTGCGCATTTCCTACAATATTATGTCAAACTGTAAATTATTCCCTGAACAAACAATACTTTGAAGTACTGTACCTATACCTGATATGTTCTACCACTTATCTAACACTTGATGAAGAAGAAAAAAAGATTTTCTCAACTTTCTTGAGTGTTTTTAATTATTCTGGCACATTAGTTGTCCAAATCAGTTTGAAGTTGTTGATTTTGTTGTTGAGATATTTTGGCTTGTCATAGTAGGAAAAGCACAGCTGTTACTGATGACATTAGGGATGGCTCAGTTCTATTCTAAGTGTGACAGTAAGTCATGACAGTGTGACAGTGAGTCAGCAAGCCCAATGAGCAAAAACCTTGTTAAAACTCTCATTTGACAGATACCAGTTCAACTGCGTCAAGTAGCTAACCCTAACCTCACTCTAACCTTAACCAACCTAACCAATGGAGTCAACAGCTACTAGCCAATCAGAGGTAGAGTGGTGGAAAATCTGGCAGGAACTAAAATAACACTCACAATAACAGGACCCTGAAATTGAAATAGCTAAATTCAACCATTATTAATTTTATTATTAACCTGTGATTTTCCTACTGTGACACATCAAAAGGTCAACTGTGAAAAAGATCTATGGTAAAGGTGTTAAGTTATCCCACCCAGAAAGAGGAAGATGTCAATCATGTTCAGACTGTACAATGCAGGGCATTTCATGTTTTTATCATGTACATGTTAAATGCAGTCAGTGATCAGCTTTGGTCAAACTGGGCCATCTTGTGGCGATGAAAATGTCTCACTATCATGCAAATAAAACCCAACGCAGTCTGAATTGACTTATTATTTATTTCCATTGATGTAAACAAAATTAAATTTTAACAGTGTTTGAATGCAGGCTGTGCTAAAACAACAACACATTTTGAACACCTTTGAATAAAAACCTTACAGTGAGAGAAGGCATTACAAGCTGCATAAACTTTTTCTCTCTGCCTGCTGTACTGAAGACACACAGCAGTTTTTGGTGACAGGCAGGATAAGACTGACCGATGATTCCTGAAGGGCCTATTGCCTTTCTTAGCGAACTGAGCGCCTGGATCATGTCAAAGAGGGCGAAGGGAAGATTGTTGACAAAATGTCACACCTACATTAATCTCCTGTGGACGATATGGTGTTAGAGTTAAGCTGTCGTTCCCTGGAAGGTTGAACTACATTCAGTTGTTCAACATTATAAGAGATCTAATACATTCTCAATCAACATTAAAATAGACTATCCTATACATTGTGACTATGTGGAAGTCTGACTTCAAGTTTTTTTTCTCCCATGTTTTTAACCCTTTCAGTATGGTTAAACATTGCAATGATTAGGATCTGAGGTATCTAAGGCAAAATTAAGACACCATCTGATGAAAAATCTGAAAAATCATTTTGATGGAAGAATATCCAAATCCGAGACACAGGAGACAACCACACAAGCAAAGTAGTTGTTCCTTTACAATTCTGTATGTCCTTATATATACTATTAGAAGTAGCATCATACAATGTTTGTCAGGCCTGTCATTTGCTAAACTATCTTTTGTTCAGATAAAATACAAATACAAAATGCACCATCGGTGGGTTTGTGCCAAAGGACGTGGCGATTATCTACAGCAAGTGCACTTGAGGATATTTCACAGTTCAAAACATTGTCTTGCTTCTGACAAACAAAAGCAAGAACACAGGCTTGTGAACAATATAGGTGTTGACTGGCTGTTGCAGTTCGCAAGGCTGAAGATGGAACAATGTGAGGGGGCTGTTGACCATGAAGTCTGTGAAAGTCAGATTTTATGTCTGTTTATTCAGCTTTTTCTTTGCCACCATCTACTGGCTTCACTGGCTCCGGATCGTCCAGCAAGGCTTGTTGTCTCTCCCTTTCCTTCACCAGCTGCACGCCACAGTAGGTCACAAGTAACACTGAGAGTGTGGACAGAGGAAAACCTGGAAGAAAAACACAAAGAGGAGAAGAAGAGGAAGTGAAGCAGAAAAACAGAGAAGGCATAAGAACAGAAAAGTATGATTTTAAAGTAGTGCAGCTTTCATTGTGCAGTGCCCTAAGTAGATGTTTGACTGGAGATAATCCTGAACAATCCCCAATGCTCTGTTGTTAAGATTCTTTTATTCTATATGAAAGAAAGCAACAAAGAGGATGTTAAGTCATGTGATATCTGGAGGATGGTACCCCTTGAGAGTATGTTGCTTTCTGTCTGTGTTGCTCACGCTTTGGCTCAAACTGGCAGAAAAGCCTGATTTCATTTTATATAATATACCCTTGTTTTCCCCCACCTTTGAAAATCAGCCGTCTTCCCACCAGTTTGGCAAACTCCAAACTGTTCAAAGAGAGAACGTTGTAGAGGACAATGGCCCAGAAGTTGGCAGCATTGAACACACCACGGATCCTGCGTGACATGGCTTCACCCATTGCACACTAGATACAGTAGACACATGTACATTAAGGGATATGGCACCAAATTCCACATAGTATAATTCCATTTAATGATTGTGGGTTAGAAAAAGTTGAAAGGGTTCGTGTTTTTCATATTACCTCTATGTTCGAAAATGGCGGAAGAGAGAAGAACTTGGCCACCCATAACTCAAAGTTGAGGCCAAAGCAGTTGAAAAAGGACCAGATGTAAACAATCTGACATGGGCCCAGCCACAAAGTGGTGATAGCGAAGGTACAGATGGTTGCCAGGAGCTCCTTGAAGATTTTATCATGATCCCCACCAATAAAGTCATAAACATACCTGCAAAATTACAACTCAAATTCAACTTGATGGAGACTCAGAATAGTCTTCTATAAACTGTAGGTTCTGGCATTTAAACCCATGATTTTCTGATTAAACACCCACTTGCACAGCCAGTCATTGATGCCTCTGTCAAAGTGCCTAAAAAAAGGAGAGAAAAACAGACAATTCACTTTTTTTTTTTTTACACATTTAACTTTCAACATTGTCAACAAAGATACTACATCATGACTTCCTCAGATTACACACAACTAGTGCAAGTCACACGTACGTCTCAGCAAAGACATAGAGCATGGTGATACATTTGGGAGGCTGAGGAGGGTCCAGGTGGTCCAGTGTAGACACAGTATTGATGATACCAAACATCATGGCTGCCTTTACCCAGTCATACACCAGGTTGGAATAGGCCAGACCAGCTGCAAAGGTACACATGGAAACAAAGCAGGTTTCCTACAGGCACATTGATTGTAGGAATCTTAATTAATATGTCAACTAAAAATGGTAATGTTTGATAAACCACATAAAGCACAAACATAACAATAATCCCATTAGTAAATATTGGATTAGCCAGTCAGAGTGTGGAAAGAATGTCTCTACTTAAATGTAGACTATCCCAAAGATTCTTCTACCATTTATCAAGTGCCTAAAATAGAAGCTCACCCTGACAGGATTTATTTGTCACTGAGGTTCACTGAGTTTTAGTGGTCTTTAAGTTCAAAGATGATACAGTGATAAAAAATTAAACAGGTTGCTGAAAGACATTGAATCACGCCAAGGAATGTTAACTATGAGCATATAAATCACAAAAACACAAGCATCAGTACCAGATGTACCAGACCTGTTATTATTGCATATATCTAACTCACCCAAACACCAGTCAGAAAGCTTGGTGACCAGCTTCATGTCACTGGGGATTGTCAAGATGTACAGGTAGTGGAAGAAGACATCCACCACCAGAATAACACCCAGATGCAACAAGGCCTTGGTGGTGATGTTCCACAACTCCCTATCCTTGCGGGTCAGCTGGGTGTTGTTCACCTGTGGAATTGAAAACATTCAGTTTTGTGAACAAGCCATCATTGTTTTGTAAAATGATATGTCTATCCCAGCATACCCTATACTTAGTTAGTGATAGTTGGAGAGACACTGTCTAGTAATTAATGTATTCCTTAAGTAACAGTAGCAGTAACAGTGGTACCTTTTTAGAATTTTAACCAGGTTGGTTCAGTTAGAATATAAAACTCATATTGCTAGAGGGGATGGTCATTTCAGTTAAAATGTGCAAAGGCCTAAAATCTTTTTTTCTGTCTCTACCAATGGCTTTCAGTTATATAAACACATGGCATTACATGTGGGTATTACATCAGCCTTCAGGAGTCTTCGAGCACAATGTGCACTCACGAGTGACGGCTTAATAACTGCTGTCAAATATCAGATGGCTGTTCACTTGTCACCAACTGTTACTCATTTTTCCTCCAATCAGCTACAACTTTCAGCTGAATCTTAAATCCTCACCTGGGCATGATACCGGTCGAAAGTCATGATAGGTCCAAAGAAGAAGAAGGGGAGGTAGAAGTTGTATCTCAGCAGGTCAGAGAATGTGTAGTTGCCGTCCTTCTTCTCACAGTTCTCTAATGCAAAGCTCATACAGCGCATGATGCTGAAGCCGCAGCCTCCATAGAAGAGGATGTCTTGCAGGTCAAAAGAGCCAGTCACCAAGGTTTCCTAAAGAAGGAGTCAGAGTTATTCAAGATTTTGCATATGGACAATACCTCTACACTCCCCAGTGTTTTAATTGACTGGTTGAAACAAGCACTTTACAACAATTGTTCTCGATTATATATTACGCTTTACGTTATCATAATTACAATGGAAGTAATAGTATAAGTAGTAGGAAAATATCAAACACTACATTACATTGAAATATATTATTTATTTCACTAGATAATATTACTATATAAGTGCTTATATTACCATTATTATATTTTTATATTAGATCCTACAGTATATGTTGGTTCTTAAACAAATGGCTGACCGTTCATGACAGAATTGACTTTAAGATCCTTCTCCTGGTCAGACAGACATCTCCTTCAAATTCCCACAGCTCATTCTGCCTCAGGCTGCAGAGCATTCAGTGTTTATGCACCTCAGCCCTGGAACCACCCACTCACCTGCCAGGAGTTATAGGGCTCCAGCTTAAGGGACGCCAGCGTGGTCAGGCCGGCCGCAAAGCACATCCATTTGCTCTTGACCATAGCGACACTGTAGAGTATGATGCAGTGAGACAGAACCAGAGCCATGAAGGTCCAGCCCATCGTGATCAGGACTGCCAAACCACCGTACACCCCAAAGATCAAGGATCTGTGCTGTGGGTAAAGAGGGGCCAGCGTCAGTGTGACGTCACAACAAGATTTTTGTACTATTGATAATTGAATGCAACACACATGAAAAGTAGTGGTGTTAGTACAACACTGTTGTATCTACAACAATGGATATACTTTAGGATGGAACAAAGATTAAATTGTGTGTGGGAGAGGATGCTGTTAATGTATCCATGGTTTAAATGAAACACATGACAAATTTTACAAAATTCACATGTTTATTACTGTTACCTTACATCCATCTATACCAATCTTCAATGTAAGCATGAAACAAGACAGAAAACATGTTTAAAACACAATGAACTGTTTTAAATATGTCAAATTATTCCCAGGAAAGAATCATTGGTGCACTCAACAGACACAGAGCGCAACTCATGCAATAACCAATAACCTGTTACACTTTGGGGAACAAATACACAACATGACAAATAATTTTTGCTCAATAGAATACGGTAAAATGGAATTACATTGAATTGAACTGAACTGCATTACTTGTACAGCCCAAGGTCTACTGTTCATTTCAGAACAATGTAGCTTTGCATTTAATGTGTTTATACCACATATCAACAGAACTCCGGTGTGTGGTCTTGATTGGAGAAAAGCTTGTCTTGCACATGCACACAAATACAGGCATGTGTATACACATGCAATACATACACATACACATAATAAGAGACATTGCATTATACCTATATGCAATCGGATTACAGTGCTAGCTCATGGGCATGCACACACAGGCACGCACCTTTGGAGCTAGCAGGGTGAATATCTTGGCAAAGATAACGTGACCGGTGAGAGCAAAAATGATATGATTGCGGAATGTAGAGAACCACATCATCCATTCGAAGTCCGCAACATCCTGTGGCAAAGGAAGATGCATGAGTAAAACATCACTCTTTTGATGCCTTGCATCAGTAAATCCAATTATAGAACACAATGAGAGACATAAAGGGAAGATAAATGAGCAACTTGCCATTTTCCTGCCAAAGTAATGCCATCCTGGTTTTACACTTTCTTTGAAGGCCTTTCTGTTTACATTCTCTGAATAAAGAAGAAAATATACAGGATATTCACCAAACAAAATGCAGGAAATTGTGCAATGGAATTAGTAAGGTATTACAATTTCAATATATGGTTATGCTTCTAGGTTGAGGAGTGCTAAATTCAGACTGTATGCAGCTTTATTTTGGGGGTCTATGTGAACTAAAATAATCATTCTGTAGGAGTCAAAATTTGAACATCTTCGGTGTAATTGTTGGATTATTCACAGTGAATTTAAGGTGTGAGAGCACATTCAGTTCATTTGATAACATCAGATATTACATAATGTACTCAGTGCGAAGCTTTCTATTTTTGAGGCTGACATCTACTCTCATACGCTCATAATCTGGTTGTAGGAGATTAGATTACTGCATAACATGAATAAAATGCTGACATAGAACTGATGACAATAACAACACAAATAAGTGTGATAATAATCAGAATCATGGCAGTGATGTTGAGATATTCATTATACAGCAACAAATGTGACTCGCACACGCCCCCACAGTACCTCCTTCAGCTTTGCCTGATTACACTAATGGCCATGGAAAAGGATGTCAAAATGTGAGGGTCATTCAGGGAAAGCCTCTTACTTCTGGGAACACGGCCAAGTTTCTATTGCGAGTATAAAGTGCTACTTTTGTATGCAGACCTGAGCATCATAAATGCCCACAGATGACCATTTCAAGACACAGAGAGCACTAAAGGAAAAGAATTAGGACAGAATGATGACTGACTCTGCCCTGGCCAATCTCACAGCACAGACTGAGACAGACAGTGCCACAACAGAATCTTAGTCTGAAATATCTCCATTAGGAAAATAATTAGAAAAGTAATTGGAGCATCTTTAAATTGTCTTCATATTAACATGAACATGCTGAAATTCCTTAGAGGAGGGAAGTCTATTTTAATCTGCTACATGAACTTTGTTCTACTCAGTTTTAGGTTAAACAGGGAAATGTTATACAAGGTCCAAAGCTGTTTATTAGTCATTATACAGCACAAGGCTGCATAACGAAACAAAATTTGTAGATCCTTCATGCTACACACACACGACATATAATTAAGTATAGACCTATATTAAAATATGGTAACATATTAAATAAAATAAACAATATATACATACACGTATACACACTGAACAATCCACAGTGCATTTTTTAAAATTTGCATCTGGGGTGAATGTAAACAGCAGCAATTATAGTTTATGGCTATATTATAGGTAGGGGCCTTGTTTATTGAAGCAGATTTTAATAATAAAATTCCCATTGCTACAAGGTAAGTGATTTTTCAGTGAGATCTATTTCGAATGAAAATATTGACTGGAGTGTTTTTCTGGAGCAGCTGCTTGAAAAGTATCCATTTGCTCTGACTTTATTAAATATGAAGGGATTTCAGTGAACCTAAATAAACTCCAGCATTGTCAGTGATTCTTCACTCTCTCTGGGTTACATTTACAGTGTGTGTGTGTGTGTGCGCTTTTGACGTCCCCTGACATGTCGTGCACTCACCACTCGAAGCTTCAAATATCCAACTGCCTGCCCATATCAAAGCCACGCCGAGTACTGCTGTGTAGAGATACAGCTCATATCTGGGGAGAGCAGCCTTGATCCCCATGGCGAATCTGCACACTGGAAGCCTAACAGGTTGAAAAGCAATCAGCCAAACAATATCAAACCTGACTGAGGGTAAACAGCATGATTATGAATAAAAAAAGACATATCTGAAACCAGTAATGGATGAATGGATGGTTTAAGGGTTTACCAAGGTTTACTGAACCAGTGTTTTTGGGGTGATTTTCAGATGTCATTATTCTGAAGCAAATGCTTTTTAGTCAAATATGAGACATTAGCATGAAAGCAGTATTTGACAGCTTCATCTTGTGTGAACTCTGCCATACAAATGTGATTAATAAGACAGACCTTGAGAGGACTTTAGCACAACCCCACGTAAAAAAAACAAGTGGAATAACTTCTACTGAAAAAAAAAAGATATGCACACAAAAACAAAGTATTGTTATACCAATCAGCACTAGTTCTTCATGTCAGATTCAGACCAGGGCATTTTCTGTTTAAAACACCTTGGGTTTTAAAGAGGTGGCATTTTACTAACAAGTCTTCATGATCTTAGTGACTTAAATAGGACTGCAGAGCGGAATCAGCACCGTCAGCTGCGCAACCCTACCTCTCCTTCCTATTATAGCTCTTGCAGTTGGTCTGCTGTGCAGCAGGGCAGCTGCAGTGCTATGTGATCTGAGAGGCGCTGGGGACTCACTTCACAGAATAATTAGCACTGACTGGAATGACCAAGAATGGTGCAACAGAGTAAGAAGCCGATAGAAAGATACTTTCCAGTGGAGAATAATGCACTTGTATCTGGTTGAGAATGTGTGTTTGTGTGTGTGTGCCAGGCTCATTTGAGTTAAAGTTACAGGAGTTTGATTAACAAGTCTTCTCCATGCCAAGATGTAACCATGGCTAAGCAGGACCCCAGCAAAGCGTCCTGCATACAAATGCAGGTTTACTGTTTCACTGCTCCATGCATACAGAGCCGGTCACTTCTGCATTGATTTTCATGCTTACCTACTCTTATATTTAACTCTATGGACAAATAACAGGGACTTGTTTTTACTAACCTTGTTTCCGCTTCACACTGTCAAGATGAGGGCAGCAGTGTTTACAGCCCGACTCTTCACTTATAAATAAAAGAAAAGGGGGTGGCGGTGGTTACAGCAGTTTTTCTAATTCATCCGTCTTGTGGGGGCTTGCCGCTGCCGCTGCCTGCGATCACCAGCCTCGGCCAGTCAGGATGTTGCGGACTCAACGAAAGGAGGAGGAGGAGGTGGAGGAGGAGGTGGTGGTGGTGGTGGTGGTGGTGGGGGATATATTTATCTTTCACTACTGTACCGCAGTGAGGGGTGGTCCACACCGAGCCCATCAGACCTTACTAGAGCGCAAACACACTCTGGGACAATGATTAAAAATGAGGGGGAAAGCAGTTGCGTCAAGCAGCCTCTACAGTACAGTGATATAGCCTACAATACATTTGACGACTCTTTAGTCAAAAAGTAGGATGGTTTACACTGGAGGAGAAGGTAAACGCTGCTATACATGTCTCATGTTCACCAATTGGCAGCGACAAAAGCAATTACATCAGGTTTTCTGATGAAGTGGGTTTTTTTGTATATCTTCTGTGGTATCAGAATAGGCTACCACTTTATAAAGTCATTACAAAGTCAGAGGAATTTGGTTTTCATAGTTTTCAGTAGTCTATGTCTCCCATAATTAGGCTAAGTGAGATGTTTTGAGGTCCTTAATTAAAAGCAGTTATCGTCTTACCAGCCTATACGGTGTAGCCTACCGTCTCACTCTCTCTTCAGACACTCACAGGCTACACAAAAATAAACCAAGTCGTTTGACTAGAAGTCGTACTCCAGATCCGATACTGCGACTGATGTGAGTACACATGCAGGCAGTGTAGGCTACTGTATTTTATCGTAATAAATGCAGGGTATCCTCGAAGCATTTTCATAATTTAGACACTGGGTGGCGCTCTCGATCTGTTGAAATTAGCCACACACGGGGAAGGCGCACACAAACCAAGGGGTTTGGATTAACGTCAACTGTTTGCGTGAATTGTTTAACGGGCAGTTTTTGGCCCCTGGATCATGTTAAGTTACACAAAGTGTATTAGCATATGTTTGAATGTATTCTTTTTAATAAAGAGCTAGGCTATATTTGTTGCGTGAGACCAAACAGTAATTACAGAGGAGAAAGCCGAGTCCAGCCAGCTTCACGGGCTGAGCAATGTTAGTGCGGCTGCCTGAGAGAATCCATCACAGAAACAAACCCTCCCACTCGGCGTGCCCCCGCTTCAGATGCTACTCAAAATACATAAAGCCTCCATGTTGCACAGGGAATATAGGGCCAGTGAGATATGAAGTGTTTGCCTAAACTTTAACGTTGAACAACCTGCGTTTGGTACATGTTTTTGGACAAGAACACGCATCCGACAGGGCTTCCTAGCGTGTTTTCAACGTTGTTCCAGACACGGCCTCACATTTTTGGATGATCGGAGCTTCACAGCTAACTCGCTAATCCATGCTACTTGCTAACTTCAGCTAGTTAGCAATTAAACGTCGGTTGTTTTGTTTTATTTTGTTTTTGCCACACACGCTTTCGGTGTTGTTTGCAGCAATGATATTTTGCGGAGAGCCATAAATGACAGCCATTCACTGGCTTCCATTCACCACCGTGCTAGCTGGCTGGCTACCACCGCTGCAACAACACTTCACCTCGGCTTTGTGGGCTGGCTGGTCATCCTCATCTTAAACAGCTAGCTGACGGTAGCTAGCAAACGGAGCAAGCGCGCTAGCACGAATAACATTGTGGGGAAACCAAAACAGGAATAACCACCCGTCTAAATGGACCACATGTCCATAATAACCCAAGTTTCCAACCCGAAGGAGGAGGAAATCATATCCTTTAACCAGGAAAAAGGTAAGGAAAAGCCAATTAATGACAGAGAAGTAACGTTAATGCTAGCTGTCTGCTACTACATTTCTCTTCTGACGTTAGCTTTTTGCTCTCGCCTGCTCGCTGCTCTAGTAACTTGTAGTAGGTTGAGACACTGGTTGCCTGTTTGTAATATAAAATCCTGGAAACGTAACTAACGTTAGTTGACACGCTTCCCAGTAAGCAACAAGTTTATCAGAGGGGCCTCGTCCCTAATAAGTTAACGCACTAGCTTAACGTTTGCTTGCTGCATGTTCAGTGTGAAGAGGACTCCGGTGTCAAGACGTGTGTTTTTTTAATCCCGTTAACGTTGGCCGAATTAACGTTAACACTGTAGTGACACCGTGGGTGTTCACACCTGATCAACACCAGTGATAGTAAGTCTTTACTCTTTTAAATATCTGTATTTTACTCTTTTCATTTAGCGTTTTGGTAACATAGCTGGACTAAACGGTCTTACATGTGATTCACTAACGTTATATGAATCACGACCACAAGAAGCTGAAAAGTTCATGGTGGTTTGGTCTGCGGGGAAGCAAAAGGGTTTTGGGGACAAGAGAAATTATCTGCCGCCAGCAATGTTGCATGTACAATTTTGTAATCAGTGATGCTGCCTCGTCTCCGATGAAGATTTAGTTACGTCAAGTGAAATTCCCAACCAGTTCAGGTGGTGTTTTCTCATATCTTAAGTAAAAAAAAATTTATTTTAAAAGGTTAAGGGAAGTTAAGGGAAGCCCAGGTCCAGATCAAAAACAACTATACCTAGAGCTGTCAAATCTGGACCAGAATGAGAGGCCAAAGTTTCTTTAAAACACAGTTTCAGATTTGTGAAACCTTTGATTCTATTTGTGAAATTTCAGAAAGGGGGGGATTTATGTGTTTGTTTATTTTCACAAATAGAATAAAGATTTCACAAATCTGAAACTGTGTTTATTGTGGTTTTTGATCTGGACCTGAGTTTCCCTTAGTTTTCCCCATAATTGCTGAATCGGAAGCTGCAAATTGAAAGCTAACTGTTAGATTTTCAGGTTTTAATCACCCACATATATTGGGATCTTGGGAGCAAAATGTTATCTTATACCTTTCTCTTGCACTCCATCTGCCATTGACAGTGGAGGTCAAATCTCTCCTTCAGGACCATAGCTGCTAATGTCCATTCATTCCCATTCCTGAGGCTACACTGACACTTTCCGGGTCACCCGGGCCCGTGGGACATGTATCAGTATCCCATCTCAAACCTCACTTTTCAAAGCATTAGTAATGTGAGAACCTAAGTCTTTCAGGCACAACCGTGCTTTCTCCTCTGGGTACAAAGGTATCCCTCACCAAGTACTATGCATTCTGTGTGACTTTAACATATGTGTGCGCCATGTGAGATTATCATTGCAGATGTGTGGGAGTTTATCATTGTAGGCTGGGATTTGAGATGGGATCCACGCATTATGAAAAATATGCAGATCCCACTGCAGTTATACGTTACTTTACAAACAGCTTGCTGTTATGTTTCAGTAAAAATGTTGTTGAGATACAGTTATTCTGCTTGAAAGATATCAGAAGGTATTTTTAAGGGTTTGTATTTGTTTTATAAGTCATAACTTGGTTGTGTTATTGTGCTGTGGAAAAGTCATGTATGGTCACTGGTTATGAGTAGTGCTGAAATGATTAGTCAATTAAGTGGTGTGTCTGTTAATGGTTAAAAATAAATGAATGGTTTAGGTAACTGTTCCAGTATAAATATATGACAGTGTGGGCTATGGTTTCATACAAGCAGATGTTTTTTGTGTTCCTTTCTTTCTTCATAAATTAATTTCTTTCTTTTAGCCATTTGTCAGAGAATGTAAGCAAATATAAGGCATCACTTTGGGCTTGTAAAGTAGATTTCTCTTTCTTTATAGACTACATGATAAATAAATAATAATAATATAATAATAAATAAAATTTGACAGTTTAATTGATCTGATTAAGCTCAGGATTTGTTGCCTTGTGCTAGTTATGAGCTCACTGTTTTTCTTTTAAATCTAGGTCAAGTCTCAATAAATTATTTTAAAATGTTTCATTCTGTAATAACAATTTTGCACATGAAAATCAGAGACAATTGGTCCAATTATGAAGTCATTGTATACCTGCATCCTGGTAGCATTTACTATGACTGTTTACCCACCAGAGGAGTTTGAGTTGCACCACTCACACAGTGGGAGTTCACTGTCATGCGTAAAATCACCTGAGTTAGAGCTGTCTGTTATGCAGGACACAGTTGAGTTAGATGATGAAGCAGGGCTCGGATGTTGCTGGGGGTTTTTTCTACCTCTTACTTTTTCTCTTAAGAATGAGTCACACAGAATTCTTCCCCTGGGGCCAAGTCAAATATTACCATCATTAAAGGAATAGTATGGCCATGTTCTTCCATTTTGTTCTGGACATGAAAACTGTAAGTTTTGAGGGGCACAGTCATCAGCTGTGTTATGAACATTAATTTAAATAGATCCAGAAAGTGTTTGTTTTTTGTTTGTTGTTATATTTTTCTAGTATACAGCAGCATTCTTAGCTTTAGCCATCGGTTTGACTGTCCCTTTTTATTGCAAATCACTTAACATAAAACATGTCCTTGCAGCTGTCCTAGAGGAATTTGACAGGTAGTCTTCCACTGCTTGAACAGGCTCCAAACTGTCTGGACAAAAATTGACCACCTTTGCTCTCAGTGTTTCTCTACTGGCTGTCTTACAACATGTGCCTGCCTTTCATACTGGTTTGGCTGCCAAGCAGCAGCCTAAGTATAGACTCGCTGCCCTGTTGACCAAAGCACCACTGACCTCGAGGCCAAGCATAATAACTCGCAAAGATGACAATAATCATTATTTTTCATTCTCTGTCATACTAGACTTTAGTTTGGGGAAAAATAACATCAACTTGATTATTCAAAGGAAGAAAATAAGGGATGTGGTCTTAGTGATCAGTGTTTTTGTGAGATGCATGGGTGGCTCTTACATGATCCCCTCACCCTCTATAGACATGGAATCCAAGACGTTTCTGATGATTGATTTATGTGTGGTGCTAAGTATTGAGCACCACAGTTGTTCAGTGGCTGTCTAATTTTGACCAATTCGGTTCTGTCAGATGTCAACCATATAAGACTTTTTATTTCCTGGGGTTCCCTGTTATTATTAATAGTTTTTTATTAATTAATGTTTTGACCTTTTATAATTAGTAAGTCCATCCAGACTTATTTTAAGAGTTTGACTTGGAAAAATAAAAATTAATCTGCAGCTGCCAGCTAAGCTCAACATGGATTACTCTGTCAATGATCACAATGATCACAGTTTCGTTGGAGCCTCAACTCAACTGCAAAAATAAAGGGATATAGTGTGAAGTTATGTTAAGATCCTCCCAGCACAGGTGAAGTAGTGGAATGGTACACAATGCTGCATGTTGAGTTTGAATCCACTGGTCAGTTGTGGCTTTTGTGTGGAGTTTGCATGTTCACCTCATGCATGTGTAGGTTTCCTCCCACAGTCCAATTGCTTGGTTGTCTGTTGGTGTCAGACCTGTGTGTCTGCTGCCATGTCAAAGGTATTCTTTACTTCTTGCACAGTGTGTGCTGGGATAGTTTACTGGTCCTGGTGCAGGATGAGCAAGTATAGAAATTAATGGATGGAAGTATAGATCAGTTACTTTCAATCTATAGCCCTCTTAACAGTACATCTAGTTTGCATTTTGTTTTCCATTGATCTCCCAATTTGGAATGAAAAACAATCAAATACTTGTCAATCAATTTGGGAACAAAAGCAGGTTCCAGTCTTTTGGGGCTTTTTTGGTCGTGGATCAAGCCTCTGTCTTCGATTTGGATTATATATTTATATGGTGGCAGCAGCAACATGCACAAGTTCCGACACCCTGTCACACACCAGTGAGAGAAAAGGAAAAGGAATCAGGTGCTGGCTATTTCTCTCAGAAATTCTGAGATTTAAACTTTTTTTGGATTCTGAACACTGTCTGTCATTGTAAAACCACGAAGCAGGTAGGCCTATCTAAAAGCATTTGTGTAGCCTATTTAAATCTAATTTAACCAGGCCCATTTAAATTATTTTGAATTTTGCCATTGTTTTTGTATACTTTGTTTTGTTAATGTAAAAGATCTAGAATAATTTGTTTTGCTTTTTTTGCGCAGTAAACTCTTAAATTGTGTTAATTAAACTCTTATGAACTTAGAAATTGGAAATTCAGACACTTTAGCCATTTCTTTTCTAAATAAGAAACAACTTCATTGTGTTGACAATTTTGTCTTTCATGATCACCTAATCAGAAAAAAAGTAATTAATTTTTATTTGTGTAATGGAGACTTGTATGTAATGTAAGATTATCACTGAATGGTCTAAGCCGTTGTGGTTGTACTATGCATATGACTCGCCCCCTGATTTTCTAAGGCAGGTGCAAAGCATGTAGATTTAAAAATTATAATACTTTCTGTGGATATTAAAACATGCTTTCACTGCGCGATCTAGTGTGATAAAGTTTTGTTAAAGCATTGTGATGTCTGTTGACGATGGCATCGTCTTATGGCCCAACCCTCACCGCTGCTTATGATGTTGCCAGAGTGCGTTCACAGATATTCCTCAAACTTGTAAACATGTAGTGTTTTGAGTTGATAAAAGTGGTTGGTTGTATTGCTTTCAATAAAAATCAGAATCAATCAATAAAAACTAGAATAGTGTCTTCACTCATTTCCATATTGATTAAAAAAAGTTCTGTATATTAAAGGAGTAAAGCACTAGACTCTGATAGATTAGTGTATTTACTGTTTACATTATGTATACTTGTGGAAAGTTAGTCCACTGAGTTATTATTTATATAAAATACTCATTGTGCCACCTACAGTAGACCAAGTACGAAGCTTTGAGATTGCAAAGCACTGCTTACAGAATCTAATATGGGACTGCTTTTATCTCACTGTGCAGCTGCATTAACCCTTATTTACTGTATATGATGTGTCAACAATCACAAACCCACCCATAGGCTCGAGAGAGAGAGGTGTTTTTTCTTGGCCAGACCCCGACTGGGAGTTTTCACACCTGCTGATTAATGATACATAGTGAGTTTGTATGTGGACAGCCTGGTGTTGAATATACTGTACCTGAAAGGCACAAGACCAAGAGAAACAGCACAGGGGATATGTTGCTGTGTCCTATAAATGGGTAATAAGGTAATTGGTAATGAAACATTGGAGTGTGATGTGGGGAATATGTTAATAAAGGAGCTGAACTTAACATGTAACTGCATTAACAGTTTACCCTCTCCTTCTTGAACTATTAACGTTGAGTGATGTGTCGGGCCCACCTCTGCTCTGTGCATGACTCAGATGTCCTGAGTGTTTTCTGAGGGTCTTTGTGCAGGAATCGGCCGGTTGTAGTGATGAGTCACAGCAGGAAGCTGACAACTGCCTCACTGTCCCAGTTTTACAGAACAGAGAGCTGAAAAGTCCAGTTTAATAAAGGAAGTCGTGAATTCCTGATTAGGTTATTTTTAGATTTAAACCAAGCTTATAATGTCAGATATGATTCATCTCTAACTAAAGCTTGAACAATTTGGTAATTTCCCTTTACGGTTCAGAAACCTTAAACGTAAGCACTCTATAATTTTAAATATATATTTTAATTTCATGTTGTGGGGATATTGCCAAGCAGATCCCTGGTATTTGGTGGTTGTTGCAGTGTTGTGTAAAAGTTTGGTATTTTCCAGTGGATTGGGTCAGATGGTGGCCTTTTATACTCTGGAAACATTGGGCAGTTGCAGTAGTTTCTTGTGCATCCTGTTTCATTCCTCTTCTCTGCACTTGTGGTATGCCCCCTCTTTTTTGTTTTTGTTTTAAACACTAAGAAGATAGGATAGCATTTCCATGCAGGATTTCCTTGGCTTCCATTACTTAACATTTACAGAAGTGATGGACATGGTCTGCCTGTTTGTTCACCAAAAAAGGTAATAAGTTTATTTCAGACAGAGACAGATTTACAAAAAGGTTGTCAACAGATAAACATACTTAAAAAACGTAAGTAGTCTATCTTTTTTTCACAGAGGTAATGTGTGATAGTTTTGTAAATATTGTAATAAAGTAACTATCTATAAAATAACAAAAAACAATATTATCATTAATAATCAGCCATACTACATCATCACTGCTTGACAGAGCAATTCTGTGTGTTTTAGGTTTTTAAGTTAATTAAAATAATCTCTAATGTGATTTCCTTGTTGATGGATGCATATTGTACTTAACTTCTTTTGGGCTTTGTGTCACTGATAAGACACAGTATAAGTACCCAGCACAGCGTGCTGTAGCTTGAAAGGCAGTTATTAATGTGGACTGGAAGCTAGTGATAGAGGGAAATGACAGAGGGGAGGGAAGGGAAGGCAGTAAGTTTTTCATGTAGCCGTGACATGCTGATAGTCAGTGTCTTGATATCTTTCTTGCACTCATGAGTATTTTTAGCAGTGGAATATAGAATTGAAATAATCTTAAAACAATAGTCTGGTAACGCCACATTATCCACATTATCTTTTATGACATGCGATGAGGCTCTGGTTGCTTTTGCGGCCCCAAGATACTGTGGCATGGAGGACTGTTTTGTTGGGAAAACGCTTGACGTAGCTGGATTGATGTAAAAATGTATCTGGTATTTGTAAGGGTTGTCTAAAGTTTGTAGTTCTTACTAATACACTACCAGCTTGTTTTATGACAAGTCATTTGATGTATGTTTTTTCATGCTCTGTGTCTGTCCTATGACAAATGTCTGGTGGGTATTTGTTTAAGGTCAGGAACACAAAGTGGCACAATATCAAGATGCCAAAAGACATGACATAATGCTATTTGCTCTTCGCTGGTCTTCAGTTGCAAAAGCATTCTGGTTGGGTGAGCCGAGGGGTGAACAGGGGGGACTAATGGGTGGAGAGGAATGCAGCCTTGTATAGGCTCTGCGGGGTCTGAGGGCCTCCCACCTCCTCCCTTCCCTCGTCTCTTGTGCATGTGCAGGCTGCTTCAGTCACTCACCTGCCAGCTGAAACTTGGGAGGGAAACGTAAGCAAGCTTTCAAAATGGAGACTCCTGGGCCAATCAGGTGATGGGATCTACGGCAGGGCAAAAAGGAGGAAAGAGGAGCACGCAGCTTCCAACTTGTCACTATTAATAAAAGCTCAGTGTCTGATTTAGGCCCTGCTCTGTAGTCCTGGAATGAGAGGCGATTTGCAATCAGAGCAGAGCTCTGTACTGTCGCTATGTGTGACTGATGAAGTCACTCGGCCAGCCAAGTTATTTTCTGATCAGTGGTTCTGCCATGCCGGGTCAACAAAACCGACACTAATGCCATTTAATCACACTGCCAAGGTCTCACCTATTGTTGTGATTCAGTGTGGCTCGCACCACCCTTGTCACTTAGGAGAATTGTAGTGAACATGTAACAGTTTGTGTCCCACTTATTCCTGCAGTGTCCACAGCTCAGCATGCAAATAACCAAACGTAAATGCCTCCCAGCTCCAGCTCCATTTTTGTGACAGAATATCGATTTGCATATCTACTTGTTCACCCTCCGCTCTCCCATCCCTCCGTGTTGTTTTGACAGCGTCCCAGTCGAACAGCAGCCTAAAGAAGCAGAGGAGCCGGAGCATCTTCAGCACATTCTTCTGCTGCTTCCGCAACTACAATGTGGAGCCGCCAGCCACCAACTCCAACACCAGCTCCCTGCCTCCACCTGTTGAGGAGAACGGATCACCTCCCAAGGTGAGCTATTGCTCGGCTAAACACACGCTATTTGTTTTGGGAGGGGTTTCTTTATCTTGGTGGACCCCTTTTTTTGTCTCTTTTATTTGTTCTCCTTCCTACCCCTCAACCTGTTTTTGTATGTGTCTGTCTCTCTTGTTTGTAGTGTGACCAGGTCGAGGTTATCCCTGTCCCTAGTGTATGTATTGCCTTTTTTTCTCCTTTGCATGCAGGCTGAGTGGGCTGCTGCTGGCACATCCTGTCTGTGTGGGCTCCAGTTCTCCTCAGAAAGCTTTTGCTCTGCTGCCGTACTGCAGTTCATTTTCAGCCGATTGTAGCACTGGCCGTGTGGAAGGTGTATAAGCACCTGGTTACATGGGTTTAAATGGTGCCTCAGTGCCTGATCTGCATGACACTTGGTGGTTTGTATGCTTTCAGAAATACTGTGACACTAACTGTCTAACAAGTTAAGTGTAAAACTGTTTCTGTTGATCGCCTTGGGTGCTTTCATGCCAGAAGTAATGAATAATATTTAGTTAAGCTCTTCATTCCGTCATTCAAGAAAGGAATTATGTTATCTGGCCAACATACCGGTCAAATCACCCATCAGTGACTGTATGAACTCCTAAGATCCATCAAACATGAATGACTTTCAAATAGAGCACTGTACCCGCACAGAGACAAACTGATATGGTTTAAGTTTGAATGATTTTCAATGAACTGCTCCACAGCAGCATCAGCTAACCTTCGCACGGCCTTTGTCTGTGAGAATGTGATGAAAAGTTTTATTGAATGGGTCCAGACACATAATTTCAGACATGGCTGTATCTCTGCTGCTTTGTCTTCCATGGAGGTGCTCTTCCTAACATGGTGTTGGTTTTTCTGCTCAGCCTTGCACATTCATTTATGCAAAGTATATATATCTCTCTGTATTTCTCTCTCATGTACTCTCACTCTCTCAATATATCTGACTTTATCTGCCTTGTCTTCCGCCCCAGCCACCAGCCAAATACCTCCTACCAGAGATGATAATATCTGACTATGGCAAAAAGTGTGTGGTGATCGACTTGGATGAAACGCTTGTCCACAGCTCGTTCAAGGTAAGAACAGGCTAAAGCTAAAGGTTTGCTATTGATGTGCACAGATCAAGTCAGTTGTCAAGGCCTTCTATGTTAAAGAGATACAGCCACCAGTTGGCTTGACCATTTATGCCTTGCAATGAGAGTAATACAAGTTGTATATCTGATATTATCAATATTTGTCTTTATATCTAAAACTCAGCCAATAACCTGCAGGATGTCAAAGCTGTGTTAAATCTATTAGATCACCGTGTAAACAAAACCAGGAGAGGAGCAGGTGGTGGAGGATGTGCTGTAGTAAGAACAGGGTCGATATTCCTGTCATGTTTGTGCATTCAAGAATAAAAGCAGCATAACAGAAAAGTCTGTTTTTGTGTGTAGACCTCAATCTCCTCCCCTTCCTGTTGATCTGTATTCCTTTTTTACCTCAACCCGTCCGCTATATCCAGTTCCTGTTAGAGGACGACCCCCTAGTTGTCTGTTGAGTTTCACTACTATAGAGGTTGCAAAAGGAAGACAGAGATTTGACAGTCTGAAAAGTTTTAGTGTTCCTAGCGGGACCTCTGCTGATCAGTTGTGGTACTACACCAAAAGTTGGCGTGACACTGATATGTTGCTGTTTCTTCTCACAGCCCATCAGCAATGCTGATTTTATTGTTCCAGTGGAGATCGACGGTACTGTTCATCAGGTATGTTGCGCACACACACAATGAAAAGACATTTTAAGTGAAGTATACCTTACCTTTTTATCAGGGGCAAATGTTCCGTTGTGTTCCTATGTGAAGATCCCGAAGAGAATGACTGTGATCCAGTTCAAGTAATCCAGGATAGGCTGTGTGTATCCTGGTTGGCCTATTCATGATTACTTGCACTGGGTGGCAGCCGCTGGACGAAGAGAGGAGGGCATCTAATCTGTGAGTGAGATTGATATCAGATATTTAAAGATTTTTTGATAAAGCAAAAGAAATACTTTTTTTTGTAGCAGTCCTCAAAAGTGTTCATGGAGGTGACATCCCATCTCAATACGGTTATAGTACTCCATACTCATACTTTGAGTCATGCGTTTGTCTGACATGTGTGCAGCACCTTGTATGTTGTTTTTCTCAAACCTGGCCTAAAATCTGTGTTGTGTCTTGCAGGTGTATGTGCTGAAACGACCCCATGTGGATGAGTTTCTTCAAAAGATGGGAGAACTATTTGAATGTGTGCTCTTTACAGCCAGTCTTGCCAAGGTGCGTTTAGGCCCGGACACATTCTCAGTTGTGACATGTGTTTTGGTTACAAGCCAGTAACGGGCATGGAACAACATTTTCCATTTCTTTTTTTCTGCTGTATTTTTTATTTTCATGTACTCTTTACTGTCGCAATTTTTCACACTTCCTCTGTTTCGCTCTCCATCTGTGTCTTTTGCATCTTAGCCAGAAATTCATGGGTAAGTTTAATGAATGAGACAGAAATAACCCTTTTGAGGACCTGATGTTTCTGTAGTATCCTATGTTCCTCAAGCTGAGTTAAAAGCTAGGTGTCATTGGTGCTTGTTGGATCATAGAGTAGTATTTCAGGCAACTTCCTTTTCGGGTAAACGCAACTGTGATCGGTGACCTGCTGTGTTTCCTTTTGTAATAATAGTGTAGCATTTGCAAGTAAGTTTTGCTGCTAGCACTGTAGACGTGACAATGTGTTTTCACAATAACCAGTTTGATTAATTATGTGCATTTCAGGATATGTCTAATTGTAACATTTCCCTGTGTTTGTTTGGCCTGGACAGTATGCAGACCCTGTGGCGGACCTGCTGGATCAGTGGGGCGTGTTTCGAGCGAGACTCTTTAGAGAATCCTGCGTTTTTCACAGAGGGAACTATGTCAAAGACCTCAGCAGGCTGGGACGAGAACTCAGCAACGTCATCATTGTTGACAATTCACCCGCCTCTTACATTTTCCACCCAGAAAATGCTGTGAGTCTCTAAACCACTAATATATTTGTCACAATCAGAAACTATGACTGTTAAATCATTTGCCTGCCCACCAAAGAGACCTAGGCTCCCACTGTTGTGTGTACCATGTAGTCTATTACCTCAGGGCAGGTTCAACACTGGAGCCTTACCCCCTTGGTGCGGTTAGTTTGGGTTGGTGTGAACGCCAAACTCGGTACTGTGTGTGGATCCAACAATTTCTCTGTTGTCTGCCAGGAAGGTCCTCCTGTCAAGTGAACTCTGGAGCGGTTCCTTTCTGATATTAACACCATTTGAACCATCCACAGGAAGCGCACTGTTATTTGTCATTTGAAGAATTCTTATTTATTAAAGAACATAAATAGAAAATAATTACAAAGTTCAAAATATGAAAAAGGAGACTATAAAAACCATAACAAATGTTCACACTATATAATTATAGTATGTAATTTACATAATGAAAGTGTATCACCTTTTGATCTTGAACTTTTTATGTGTGTAGCATGTATAAGGTCCATTTAGTCTTTAATTCAATCATTCAAGGAGAGAGTATGTGAAAATGTTTTATCCTTTATCAGCTTATTTGCATGGCCCAACTTTATGATTTTTGGATGTTTGCAGATGTGGCCCAGTTACTTCACTGGTCCAATTTGTATGGCAAATGCAAACAAAGCCTAGTTCACACAATTTTAAGCCCGATTTGTAAGTTGCAGACCGTCGAGCTGTGACTGGTGGCAAATCAGCGATCCATCGGCGCTCGCCAATCATTATTTGTGAACTACTCAAAGACGCATCAAAGGCCGGTATCTAGCATGCTTACTATCTGTAGCTGTTGGCCGACTCAACATCCAGCCAAGGAGAGCAGGCAGCTACTTTTTCGCTACAAAACACTTTTCACTCTCCTCCAGCTCTCTCTGTAGCTTAGACAATCCCTGCTGCCTGCGTGTGCTAATCTATTCTTTCACCCATAATATTTGTCTTTATAAGGTTTAATCTTTATAATGATAAACAATTCCTGTTTCGCATCATTTCGTGTGACACTTTTCACGCGTTTTCTTTACGAAACGTGGTTTGGAGACCAGACAGAGTCGTCGTCAGCTCGTGTAGTGTGAATGCCACAACGACTTCAAGACTCCCGTTACAAGACAGCAAGTCATGAAGTCTGAACAGGACCTTTTGGACCAGTTGTCGCATTAGTTTGATTCACGAACTGGACCTTTAGGTGTGAACCCACCCTTAAGTACATCTTTATTATACTTATCCTTACATGAGTTTGTAAATACTGAAAAATGCAGTCCAGGTAGTTCTAATGACAATAAGGAAAACATGATGACGGTATTAGCTTTTAATATATAGGCCCATCAAGTTACTTAGAGGATTCTGGATTATGTTTCCATGTTTGAGTATGGTGCTGGTAATCTTGGTGATATTAAATAAAAGGTAATTAACAGGTGGTTTCCCTGTCTCCCAAGGTCCCAGTCCAATCCTGGTTTGACGATATGAATGATACAGAGCTCCTGGACCTGCTGCCTTTCTTCGAGGGACTCAGCAAAGAAGAAGAGGTTTACGGGGTCCTGCAGAATCTCAGAGGCAGGTAGCAGGATACACCAAAGCGCCCGTGCTCTCCATCCTTGTCTCTGTCAGTCTCTGCCCCTTTCTACAACTGCATCTCTCAGACTCAGGCAGATCGTCCCACACGCGGCCCTCTTGTCTCTGCCCCAAGGGGACGTCTTGGAGTCTCACTGTGGAAACCTTCACGTGACCTGTCTCTGCTCTCATCTGCTAGCGACTGGCTGCCTTCTGAGTGCCATCAGAAAATAAGAAACACTAAATATCCCAGGAGCACTGTGTTTCACAAAAATCACACCAGAAAGTGTACAGAACGTCCTACGTTGATACTATTGGGGACAAAATGCTAAGAGGATTGAACTCTGGTCTTTATTTTCAAACCAACGAAGTTTTACTATTCAGTGAAGTTCTTGTTTTAAAAACAAAAAAAAACACAACTTTTTTTTTCCTGAAACTTCTTTTGTGGTACCACACAAAAGTCTGAAAAGATTTTGTCCTCGTATTTTTGCTATGCAGGCAGTTTCTGGTAGTAGAAAGGACTGTGATTCTCTTTTCTTACTGAATGAAGTGCCTTGTGTGAATGTTGTTTATATGGGGAGATATTTTGTACATGGCATATTTCCAGAGTACTTAATTCTTTTCACACACAATATGCTTTAAAGTGGACACAGAAGTATTTGAGATAAAAGTTTTACTTCAGTTTTTGTGATCATCAAACGCTGGGTAAATGTCTCCATGGTATTCTTTCTTTTCCCCAGTATGCCTGTGCCATTATATAGATGTGACCTTGTTTTATTTCTGCTTTCATTATATGTAGAAATAGTTCATTTGTTTTAGGAAAGGAGTACATCTGCAATTGTGAACCTTACGCCCCACCTGCAAGTACAGTAGTTCTTTGCGTTTGATAGTTTGATCAGAAAGCTTACATAAAATTGTGCCATTTATTTTTTTCTCCCCCCCCCACCTCCCCCCCCTCATATCTCATTTTATTATTTGCCAAATAAGGAATTTCTTAACAGGCTTCATATCTTTAACAGGGGTTTAGTTATAGCTGTTAAACCATCAGTAGAAAGTATAGCATTATAGGTTTTATTCTTTTGACAAATAGTGGTCAAATACATTTGTGTTTTTTTAAATGTTATGAGGTCCTTGTTTGTCATGTCGTGCTTATCATATGGCTAGCTTTTAGCCCAGGTTTTTGTCTTTTCTTTTTTTGTGTGTGGGGCACACATAGTGGTGCAGCTTCACCCTTAGAGGATGATCTTTCTCCAGAATTGTAAACAGTTGCAAAGGTATCCCTTTTTTGTTGTTGTTGTTTCAAATGGTCTGGGATCTTACAGTAAATGGGTCGAGTGCCATGTTTTTTATTTTTTTGTGAGGTTTAGTGTCTTTAGGGAATATAGGATGGTGTCTGATCGAATCTGGACAGTGTTAAAATCGCACCATTCTCCCTGATTTACATACAGTGATGACCTGGCCTCTCTGGCTGAAACCAGCGGAGACTATGTGTGGCGTTTACCTTCCCAGGCTATTTTTAACTGCTCTTCACCTCAGTGCCTACATATGAGAGGAGCCACGCAACCGAATGCTGCAACATTAGCTACCATGGCAATAACCTTTTTTTGGGGGGGAGGGGGAGGGTTCCATCCCAAGTGTTTGATTTGGTGTCTAAAGCACTTGACACGGCTAGCCAGTAGAGGTTCGGTTGAGGCTGGCCGGGTTATCACGATTAGTGTTCATAATAGAACCTTTTTAAACATGTCTTTTTCACATTATTTGGTCTGGAAAAACCACACACAATTTAGTCATTTGAGGATAAAATTTTAATTATTAGAACTTATTACAACTAAATTTCCAAAGCGACCTCATGTAGTAAACTACATTGCCAATAATTATCAGCTTTTGTTGTGGAACAACGTAAAAAAGGACACCTTCCAAACCTACAGATGGGTGCTCAGTCCAGAACAGCCTCCAAATGTTAGGGGCCAGCTCTAAGTGGAACACTACTGGGGCACTGCAAAAAAGGACTGCGAAGAACCTCATCGTGGCATTGATGCCTTACTGCCTGTCGAGGCACAAAGCAATGTTTCTTCATTAATTCCGAGGTTTCATCTACACGTTTTAGCGTTGTCTCATTAGTACTTTCCTATGGAGTGTGAAAACAGCTCGGCCAGATCAGGTCATTTAATGTTATGAAACAATGAAATGAAGCAATGAAGCATGGAAAAAGCTCTGTAGTGCCATCAAGGGATTGTACACTCAAAAAAAACTAATTTGCTTTATTGCTTTGTTTTGTGTCATAGTGTTAAAGACCTACACTACTTCATGATTTCCAACTTTTTTTTTTTTTTCAAGTTGAAAGGCTGCTGCTCCTTCAGATGTATTGAAATATTTTCTTTCTTTTACCTAAGCATTTGTGATGGGTGAGTGTTCAGCTCATGATGATGGTTTCAGTGCAATGTCCTTTTTTTAAAGAAGCGTTTGGTCGACTTGTCTCAACCTCTCAATGATTACCTTTCTCTGAAGATGTTTGTATCATTGTGATATTTTTCTACCTACCTTTTTGTCAGTATTTGGTTTGAAAAGTTGCATATTGCCCATTGTTATCCAGCTTTTTTCCATCTTCTTCCTTTCAGATCTGTAATGTCCCTATCTCTTGCCTTTTGGTAAGAACTCAGTCAGGTCTTGTCTTTCCTATTCGGGGACGTGTATGTGTGCGTGCACAGGCATCTTGTTTGTGCTTCCTTACAGTTTTGTTTCACTTCACTCATAATCACATTCAATCATTTTGTATTGATTTAACACCAAAGTTCTGCAACACTTGAGTTAAAGTCACAGCTTTGTCGTTGTTTTTTGGTCAGGTTATTCACTTTTTTTTTTTTTTCTAAACACTTGTCGGTTCTTGTTGGCTTAGTTTGAGTGTTGGCAGCGTGTTGTCATTCTGAGTTTCAGTTTTTTTCCCTTTCTTTCCATAATAAAAGGCTTCATTGAAACAATTACACCATGTCTATTTTGTTTTTTATTCAAATGTCAGATATGCTACATGAATTAAGGCCAAAGGTCATCACTTCAGCTTGGTGTGATTGAGGTTTCCACTGTCGCTCTGTACTTGAAATGGTCTAATAACTCCAAAAGTCACGAGAGAGAATGTTAGTGTTCTGTTATAATATTATTCATTTATTTTGCTATTCATTTCTTTTCAGACATGTCTCAATAAAGCACATTTTTATGGAGGAATGTTGATTGTCTTCTGTCAGCACACTAATGGCAACAAAGTCAGTTTTTATTTAGCCTAAACATGCTGGCAGGTTGAAGAATTAAACTTATATCAACTGTATATTTTAATAAAGTTTTGACCATGTAAGTGCAGCGGCAACAAGCTGCAAACACAAGACTGACATATCGTTTACTTTGATATGGCTAACTTGTTCGCATAGAGTTGCCTATTAACAAATCCAGCAGATATGGAGCAACATTAGCATAAATGGGGTCATGTTTCTGACTTCCTGGGGAATGCAGGTCCACTGACTCTATTTTTAGCTCTTTTCATGTATTTATAAAAAAAAAAAAACCTGTCTCTTTGTTAAATGGTTCACTATATTCACAAACTACCTGCTAACTGTGTGCTGTTTGGTGCCGCACACTATGGAAGCGAACCACAAGTAAAGCTGCGGGTTATATCATCAAAACAATGAGCTAAAAAAACTCCAAAGAGCTAAGGGGAACATGGGATAGTCCCTAAAAGAGCAACCCCTTTCACAAACAGGAAGTCATGTGATCCATTGTTATAAAACACTGATCATAGCCACTTTAAGTATGGAAGACTTATTAAATAATCCTAGTCAAAGGTTTTCATGCCAATCAGTAGTAAGCCTACCCATGATCACCTCCCTTTTGATATTTGCACTGATGCATTGTTGCACTGTGTATCAAGGGTGTGTCTATCCCAAGTTCACTAGGTATTAATTGTGTTCTGTGGAAAGGCTGAAGTGGCTCAGCCCCAAACACGTCTACTCCTTTTCCTGTTTGAGTAAAATAGTGGTTTAAAAAGGTACTTGATTTTCCTACTACGCGCACTGTAGGCATATATAATTGGTTAAAATCTATGCAGGTGTATTGTTCCACTTGGTATCACTGGATGAGAAGCCAGAAGGTTTATTAATTAGGTTAATCTTCAAAGTCTTACATGACTACAGAGTGTATCCCTTTGGTTAAACCCTGTTTAGTTGTGCTGGGAGAGAAAAGTTAAAAGTTTGTCGACAGGTTGTCATGTTTAAAACTTTAATCTTCATCTTGATATGTAAAAAGATAAAGAAGAACTGTCGATGATGTTACATGAAAAATAAGGATACTGGATGGCTAAAATTACTGATGAAGACAAGGCACATAAAATGGTGATTTTAAAATAAAAAATAATTTAAACAAACAATTCATTAACTGACCAGAAATTAGAGACACAAACTGTCTTAAAAAAGTCCAATGCCATCTCAACCTGAATATAGCGTAATACTAGTGCAACTCACACAAACCAGTTAAAACAGTTTGTATAACAGTCCCTGTAATGTGTTGCATAAGTATTAAGTGTAATTATGAGTATGTACAGTATTTGCATGCAAAACCCACCTGCCAATACAATTAATTTCTACTTGCGGATGGAGATCTTTAGTTTAAATTGAGACTAATTTCCTTTGAGAATAATGTGCTTTTATCTGACTTTTACAGTAACTGCTCAAACTAATGGAATCAAGCCAATAAGTTAATCATGAACTAAAACTATAAAATAGCAACAATTAAAACCAAATAAAATATGGCTGTGTGATGGAGGTCCTTGTGAACATGCCAGTCGGCGACTTCTTACTCAGCACCAACGACCATGATATGTACAAAGAGTCCAGCTGAGGGGAGAACGTCTCCGTTCTTATTGAGCAGAGGCACATGTCTGTATCCTGTGTGGGAGCACAAAGTGGTTCCAGTCAGTGATCAGAAAAAGGAGAATATGAAGAACTCGTTGTGCAGAGTGTGAACTGAGTTGTCTATGCTCGACCAGAGAAGGGAGAGTTTCTGCCTCTGTTCATTTATAAAGTGTGAAAAACAATTCTACAAATATCCACTGCCAGTTGCTAACACTTACCCATTTTTAAGCTGTTGAATGGAAGTGTGTACTGTCCAATAAAGTCGTTATCAGACATGGAGTCGTAGTCTTCAACGAGGAAACGGACCAGTGCCAGCTCTGGCACATACACATCAAACTGAAAGTTTTCATTCCATGTTGGGTTAAAACCTCAAACAGAAAAGAAGAAATGTGCGGTCGGAAACTTGATGTATCACAGATGTTGTGCATCATTAATTCTGATGTTCAGCACATTCCAGGAGTTATTTGGTCATCTTTCAACCTGCCTGGTCTACTTGTGCTATTAAGGCTTCCCACACTTCCCAGAATGCATTTCGACATGCCCCCCACAGAGGGTGTGGGGTCTTAGATATTAAAAACAGATAATACACAGGGAAGGCAGAGCAGGAGTTTTTTCCAGTAAATAAGAAACAACACTCTTACAGCTGACTCAGAATGTGTTTTGTGGCTGCACTTTCATTCTGGTCTATTGCGGCTACTACTGGAAGGAACATGTTCTACCATGACTCTAGAGTTGTTTCTGAAGCCTAACATTGATGTTTCCCTTTAGCTTTAGCTGGCTGAAAAATGTCAAACAGCATTGTAACTGTAATAAAAATGTTGCATTGGCTACCTTCATTTAACAATCTGTTAGAATTAGAAGAAATACCTCCAAAAGTATTTATATGACCAATATCTGCTTTTTAAACAGAGCTGCATTGAAAAATACAAGTACAGTACAAAACATATATATGTATATAGTGTTGGAAAAGAAAGGTACCGTTGTTTTCAATTACACTGGTCTCTTTCTCAGCGACATCAGCCGGCACTCCATACACCTGTACTTTAACCAGCGGGTCCACAACGGAGTTTTTGTCTTTGTTCACCTTGGGGAGCTGCTGGGCTGATATAATCTGATGACAGGTGGGGGATACATCCCGTCAGATAATAAAAGATCCTTCAAGATCTGGACAGCAGGATTCTCAACAGGATTCTACAGCATATGTTTGTGTGCGTGTGAGAGAGAGAAACTCTCACCATGACATGGAGCATCCTGTGCTTCAGCCATTCTCCTCGGGTCAGGGTGATGGGATCAAACTCTGTGGCTCTGTCGGTCATGTAGGCCGGTTTCAGGATGTAGCCACTCTTTCCGTTAACCAGGAATCTGCCCTGGTTAATGTCCATGTCTGTGCAGGCTGTCTGGAAGTTTAAGGCCACTGAAAAGGAATAACAAGATGATGCACAATGATGAATCAAAGATAAGTGATTGGCCATGCATGTGAGAGTCTGGACTACGTACCAATTTGGCAGCCAGCATTCCACAGAGGCACCGGGTTGTAGTTGGATGAGTCGGTCCTGAAGCCTGATGGATAGATTCGGCTCAGCTTGTCCACATTATGCCGGATGTAGGCATTAGCTGTGAAGAACACAATGAGATAGTGGAACAGAGTTATCTACTCAGCTGAAAGTTTGATTCAACTTTTGTGCATCATTCTATACACTTTTTTCTGACCGAGGTACCATCATAACTATATAGGAAAGAAAATGTTCAATTCAATTTTGTTGCTTTCAGTAGCTATTTATCCAGGCAACCTGCATATGTGGTACGGCTCAGAGGAAAGATGCTAACTCTGCAATGACCCTGACCCAGGTCTGCAGCACATCCTGTCCAGCTGTAAGACAGCGCTGGCGCAGGGTCGATATGGATGGCGTCACAACCAAGTCCTCTTAACACCTGATTCACTTTGTCGGGCAAGGAGGAGCAACAAAGGCCACCACTCAGAGAGGGAAAACAACCCTGACCCCTGGGAGCAATTGGAATCTGAGGGTTGACCTGGAACGACAGCTCAAGTTTCTAGAGATCATCATAACCTCTCTTCGGCCAGACGTTGTCCTATGGTCAACAGCTGCTGATGGGAGGCTGGGATGGAGGCAGCTTTCGACCGGAAAAAGGATAAGTACTCGGAGCTGACAGCTGAGTGCAGAGGACAGCAGGCAAATGTTACTGCTGAGGTTGGCTGCAGAGGCTTTGTGGAATCATCCACCCTGAGCTTGAGCTATGGGCATCAAGGGGGCAAGGTTGAGGAAGGCCATGAGGGAGCTGGCTGAGGAGGCAGAGAAGGGGAGTTTCTGGCTTTGGTTGAGGAGGAAAGATAAGGCAAGGGTCTTAAGCTTACTAGGGTTAGTTGCAGGGAGATGTCCCTGAGGAAGTTAATTAATGATTAACTCACGTTTACATATTTGTTTCAAAATCTGCCCTATTCAAGAACTTGTTATCAAGCTGAGACAAATTTACAGAATTTTTTGGAAACAGCAATATCCTTAAGATAACATGTATCTTTACAATAAAACACTTGAGTGAATCCAGAAACAAAGTCTTCCTCACCCGACTCCTCGGCCAGCACCAGGGCCTTTCCTTCCTTGAAGGACGCCATCTCGTAGAAGCTCAGGTTTTGTCTAGCGTCGTCAAAGTCGTGGAAGTGGACGCTCCTGCAGTAGATCACCATGTCGGACAGCTCCTTCGCTAGTTTCAGATTCTTTTTCTTCTGCACATTAAAAGGAAAAGAAATGTCTGCTAATGCTAAAAATGTGCTAAGTGAGAGGATTTATTCACTCGTCCTTGATGTGACAGCCCCCACCTTGCTTTTCGCCTTCTGTTCATCCTCATCATTCGACTCCTCCTCCTCCGTCACGTCCATGTCATCAGCTTCTGCCGCCTCAGGAGCAAAGATGGCCTCAAGTTTGTTTAACCTCTTCCCTTTGATCAGGAACTTCCCCTTTAGCTCCTGAAGGTATGCGCATGCACACACACACACACACACACACACACACACACACACACACACAAACACACACACACAGTGTAGCTGTGTGAGTGACTGATATCATCACATGCATCCGTCATTGATAAGAGTAGATACAAACCTCTGGAGATGGGAAGTTTGTGGGCATGCCATCCCCCAGGGGGGAAGTGACAAGTGCACTACCCAGGATGGAGCTCAGGTGGTGGGCCATGACTTTCTGCTGCTCCACACTGCAGTGGTTCTCCAAGGAGAGGATAACTGGGTAATCGGACATCTGTGGACACAGAGAATTCAGATGAGGAAAACTTAAGTAGAGTACTAATGGATATTTTATGATAATGGATACTAACTGTACCTTAAAGGCATACTCCTTGATGGCTTGGATCGCGTCTTTGAAGAGGATCTTTGAAGTGAGTGTGTAGCCGTGGTAGATCACCGGCTCATCGTCTGACCCGTCCCAGCAGTCCAGCTCTAGACAACGGCAGCCCTTCAGCAGAGCCCTGAGAGAGTCACAACCAGCATTAGTGACTGAATAGTTGGACTACAAAGAGGCTCTGTAAAGCAGCCTGTTGTTAATAAACCCCAGGTGGTTAAAATAACTAATAACTTATTTACATAAACATGCAGATTGTGATGAATTTAAACAAACAAGCCAATAAAATATGATGAAACACACCGAGAGGGTACTTGGAAGTTAAGTGAACCAATATAAAAAAGTGTAGAAATAACTCATCTTCCACCATCAAACAGATTTCTATATTAGCGTTTCATTTTTTATTTTATTTCTGGTGAGGCAGTGGTTTATTTTTGACAGGATATTTTGTACCAATACTGGCTACAAACTTGTTTATTTTCTGATCCAAATGGTTTCATTTTCCTCAGCCAGTGCATACAAGTCGTGTCCAAAGGTTCCAACAGATGGCCAGGTTAAAACAGGCCACTCCTAATCATCCGGGACAGTGTTGCTGACTTATTTGCACTTTCTCCTTCGTGAACTACACAGCGTAAGTTCATCCTCATATTGCTTTGAGACAGATGCTTTGCTCAAACTACAGTCATATTTCCCTAACCCTCAGCCTCCTCCCATTGGGATAGAGAGCTAACCAGAGACCAAAAGTTGAATAACTACCTGCAGTGATTGTACCAGTACATCAAAGCTGTAGCAGCTGAGTTCAAGACTTGAAGGGCAGATTCTTACAGGTTGGACGAAAGCCGTTACCTGATATAAGCCTCCGTGCTGCTGGGCCCACTGAGCTGATCCTCCATGAGATAGGTGTTGTGGGAGGAGGAGATGAAGTAGTGGCTGAGCGGCTGGCTCATGTCCTGGTACACTTCTTTGTGATCTGAACTGAGGGCCGAGGCCTCTGGATTTTGCATGTAAATGAGGAAGCCATCTTTGGACAGCAGCTTCTTCTCTTTGGCTGAAAGAACACAAGGACAAGGCCGAACAGGCGTGTGAGTGTAATACATATACACTCTCCCTTAAGAAGAGTTGATTACGCCTGTGCTGGTTTCATATTGAAATCCAAGATAAAGATAAATAAAGATCCTTGCTGAAAAGTTTGTGTGTGAATCAGCTGAGATATCTTCTGCACCTTAAATGCAACATTAAATAGGCTTCGCAACCTGACATAAGATGTCCTAGCTGTGGTGTATGTAAGTAAAACATTCATGTAATACATTACTTAACCGTAAGAGCACCAACAACACTGTTCTCTTTGCATACTGCATGTTTTTTAAGTTTATCTTGTAGGCACTATAGGCTCTAGTGATAAAAGGGCTTTGTCTAACAGGTTAGTTGGCTTCCCAGCATGATATTTGACTTGGAAAATTGCTGTTTGTTGTATATCTTTGCAGTGGCGTATTAGTACCAGTTAGAGAATTTAAGCCTGTTTCTCTACATGTCAATCATCTCTTGTTTCTCTAGGTCCGACCCACAGAGCAGTATTTTTGTGTTAACTGGTTTAACAGGGACAGTGCACATTAATAAACATTGCTGTAAATGCACCCGAGTTAGTCAAAAGGCTATTCTGCATCTGTAGTCCCTGGAACTACAGGTCTCATTGGCCAAATGTTTCTCTTTTACTCAACATAGGATTCCTGCACATATTACATATTGATAAAGACAAAGGAGGCTATTTTTTGCCTTATGGTTCAAAAGACTGAGAAAGGTGTCTGGACAGTGAGAGCTCCTGTTACTGCACCATGGTTTAAATCTCCTAGTCCTGAGTCACTGTGTTCCAAATTACATCAAAAATGTAATCTAAAGGGCTATTCTGAAATCACAAATGCAATACATAATTGCATAATTGCTGGTTCCCTAGTGGATCATATCAAGCCTGTTGCAAGGAATCTTGGCATCTGGTTTGACTAATTTAAGTTTTGAGAAGCACACCACAAAGCTTGTCCAATCGCATTTTTACCATCTTAGAAATATAAAAAAATACTAACAATGTAAAATTTTAAGGATGCTTAGAACATTTTACACGCCCTCATCCCATCAAGCCTGGATTACTGCTTGACCCCAAAACCTACTGATCTACTACAGACTGTCCAGAACTCAGCTGCCAGACTACAGAACCAGAACAAAAAAAAATCACCCCTGTTTTAGCTTCATTACACTGGCTCCCAGTATGTTTTAGAATATATTTTAAAATGTTACTGTTTACTTTTCTCTCCCTGCTATAGCTCTGACCTTTTAGTACCATACGCATCGACACGAACTATGACACCCTCAGGCTGAGATCTGTTCCAGAGGCCCGACTTAAAACTAAAGGGGAAGGAGCACTTGCAATCAGGGCCCCGAGGCTCTGGAACAGCATGCCAGAGAAAAAAATCATCATTCTAACAACAAATTTTTACAAGAGAGCATTTCCTGATTTTAGTTAACTTTATTTTTCTTTTCTTTTAACTGTATATATATATTCTTTGTTTTATCTGTGTTTTATTTTCTGCCTTGTGAAAGCACTTAGTAAGTGATTAAGATTATTATAATCAATATTACATCATTATAATACCAAAAATGAAAATGAATAATTAAAAGAAAGTAGCCAGAGTACCACGGCTAGTCTTCAGTGATTTGGCTGTGATGCTGAAAGTAACAACCTGAAACACAAACACGTTATTTCAGATAAAGGTACTGACCATTTTCATTTGGCTCATACTTCTCGATAATCCTGTGTGCGTCCGCCAGTGAGGCTTTCTCTATCTGTTCTTTCATCAGGAAGTCCACCAGGTTTTCAGGACTCATAAAGCCAGTAGTTTTAGCGTACTCCCCGTAGATCACGGCAATTTCCTCCCGATTGGTCAACAGGTGATAGAAGTTTTCAATCTCCTTTCCATCAAGGTATCCAGATTTTGAGTTGTCACATTTCTGTATGATGGAAATGTAATGTGAAAGTTGGTCCACACTAGTTAACCTGAACATGTTATTAAGTCTTAAGAAGGTAGGGGGTACATTTTTCATCAAGATTTTTTTATTTCATCTTCATTTTTTTTCTAAATTTACATCTATCTATGAAAACTGTAGCAATAACTTTTAATATTTTTTTTAGCTCCTGAAGATATTAAGAGCTTGGAGGTCATCATCACCTTGAAGAGCATCTCCACATAGTCGTCATCCACCTTGATGTTGATCAGACGCAGGAAGTTTTTGAGCTCTAACTGACTCAGCTTTTCATCATGGTTCTTGTCTGCTTTCCTCAGGCAGCTGATGATCCAACTGAAGTGATTTTAATGTAAGGAGCAGAAAAATTGTCTGCTTTCTGTAATCGGTTATGACTAATATCACCTATAAGGACCAGAGTGGTTATTCCTGTGCATTGCTGAAAATCAGTCATGTTCAAAGTCTAACCTCCAATATCATGACAAGGATACTGCCCTGTCCTCTGCTGGACGCTGAGGTTGTTTATGTTGGACGCCACTTTGTTCAGGCTGGTGACCCACTGCTTGGCCTCCTCCTCTGAGCTGGCCATGAGGTCCAGGTTCTTGCGGCGGCCCTTGAACATGATGCAGAAGCAGCGACCCTCCTCCTGCTCCTCTGTGTACTTCCTCAGACCCTCTGACTGACGGCCCATTCGCACAGCTGAGATTTCATCAAGTGAAACTGGAGACACGAGAAGAGTTGCAAATGTCATTTTACACTAAATCTTATGCCATAGGACTGTAAAAAAAAAAACAAAAAAAAGGGCAATTCTGTAGGGAGAGGTATTAAACTCAAAAATGGTTACAAATGTGTATTACAATAAAAATAAGATTTACAACTGTACACAATATTTAATTTTGTGTACTCACAGATGCATGTCCAATCCACACACAAACACCAAACACAAAATTAAAAGAGTTTTACAAATGCGCACATGACAACCTGAATAAATATGAATGTTTTACGTACAGATCTTTAACTTCAGCTTCACAGAGTTGATCATTTTCGCTTTCAAAAAGCTTCCTGTGCATAAAAATGTCAAACTATGTGACGTTCCTTTGTATTTATTTACAGATTGTTAAATGTGTGTGATCTGGGTGTGCTCGGATCACCTGATACGCAAGGGTTAGGTTACATTTGCATGGAGAGTTTTGAGACTGCTTTCCCAGTTTCCAGCTTCACACAGATTCACAAACGCATGCTGCGTTTAAGTGTTAGTGGTGGGCTTTCTGTGAAATCTGTGTGGAATTACATTTTTCTAACTAGACAGAATAGCTTGTCACCACTCGATTAGACCATGTGCATTACCAACATAGACTCAATACTGCAGCCTATAAATATAAATATATGTTTTAAATAAACTACTGCTAGGTGGTGGACTTGTTTTGCTGGGAAAACAGCCAATCCAGCCAGCGGATTCTGGTTGAACCTAACGGGTAGGAAATGCATCTTCGACACAACACTTGCCTCCGCTTAGTTCAAATTGCTTAGTGTTTGTGTATGGATTAAAACAAATTATTGTGCCCATTTGTAAATCTTACTTTAGACATCACAGACCAGCCTGCTTGATAAACATAAACCGGCTGTTTGTTTACTGACGTCACATTAGACGTTTGTGAGAACTGAAAAATCCACATTTTCAGTCACTTGTGCAGAGTTGTTGCATGTTATTTCACATGGCAACTGTGACTGCACTGTGACTGCATGAAAATATGCATATGGATGTAATCCAAGGGGAAAATACAACCACTCCTTCAAACTACAAAAAATACTATCTTGATAAACACACCCTGAAAACTTGTCACTGCTACCATTAACAACCCAGTTGCGTGTGATAATACCAAGGACTTTCAGACAGAAATAATATTTTATAGCTCTGTGATCATTCTCTCACTTTTATTATCCATGAAGAAAAATCCATCTGACCTGGGAAAAGATATCAAAGATAGTTTTAGTTGTATTGTCACACACATGCAGGTGGGATGCTGGGGCAGCACTCACAGGTCTGGTTTGTCCTGAAGGGTTTCTTTGATTCGTGCCACATGGTCTGGCAGTCCTCCTGGAGTCTGAAGTGGCGGAACTTCTTCCAGGATGGAGAGCGGACCTTGAGAAGATCTCCCCCTTGCAGGAGGAACTTGAGGTCCGTATCACCCTCCATACCTGTGGAACCGAGGAGCAGAGATTAAATGCAAAATTTCCTGCAAATCTACTGAGCTGAATGCACAAAATCACAAGCCAAGAATGCAACCAAGGCAAGCCCCTTCCCGCGCACAGTTTTATTGCTTTACACATTATAAACAAGTTGAGACGTAGCCTACACTGTAATAACAAAGCGTTTGGTCTGACCCTGGATAACCCCTTGGTCACATCTTTTTCGTCTTTGTTGGTTTGTATCCTTATCTGGATTGAAAATAAGATGCAATTCTCAAAACTAAAATAAAAACTAAAATATTAGGGAAAGTTCTTCCCCATCCCTCATCCCATTCTCTAATAAAACTAACCTACTCAATCTAGGCTCTATGAGGGACTAAAAGCCTGTCTCAACACCCCTGCACTGCCTCTCCAGGAACTCCCACGATATCCAAAAACGTTCTCGCAGCATCAACTATTTCTAATATCTCAGATTTCCTTTCTGTCTCTGCAGCCCAGTTAATCACTAAGGCCAGAAATGCTAAGAACTTTGTCCTTACTCATACTCCTACCTTGACCTACAGTCCTCATGCCCTCTAATCTCTTTCTTTCTCTCTGGACAGTCTGCTTGCAGTGCTTCATGACTCCCCCCACACTGATTACACATCTTTTCCACAGTTTCTGCCGCTGCACATCTCATCTCCACATTCACCACACATCCCAATATCGTGTCTACACAGAAGCGAGCTGTGACCAAATTTCCAACAATGCCTGCACTGAATGGGTTCACGAACAAAGGTCCTTACTGGATAACTGATATGATCTAAGAATATTGTGTCAGGCAGGACTTCTGATTCAAAACACAACATAACAGATCTTGTTGCACACCTTGCTCTGCCACTAATCCTGAATATTATTTGACTGTCAACAACTTTGTTAAACTACAATACTCTTTTACTGGAACTCTTCCAGTTAATGGGAAACATGACTCTTTGTAGCCATCTAACTCAGTTATGCACTTTTGAATTGATTTCAAAATCATGCTGTTGTTTTTTAAAGCACTGAATGGTTTAGGGCCAAAATATTGAACTTCTGTTTCGTTATGAACCACCCAGACCTCTCAGGTCGTCTGGGACAGGTCTGCTTTCTGTCCCCAGAGTTAAAACTAAACAAGGAGAAGCAGGGTTCAGTTTTTATGCTCCATATATCTGGAACAAACTCCCAGATAACTGCAGGTCTGCTGAAACTCTCAGTTCTTTTAAATCAAGACTGAAGAATTTTCTTTTTAACACTGCCTTTAATTAAATCAAATGTGATGCTGTAGATCAATATCGTACACTGCACTGTGATTTTTACTGTCCTGTTTTACCCTGTTTTTATTTCCTATTGCTGCTTTTATGCTTTAGTTTGTAAAGCACTTGTTGTTGAAATGTGCTATACAAATAAACTTGCCTTGCCTTGGCATATTTCCATTCCCTTCTTTAATTGTGTCTGTAAGACACATCTAACAATGATTACTCCACTTATTTCAACATCAACTAGACTGACATCGTCACGTTTGACCTTAATCCAACGTAGTGTTTATCCAACAGAACTCCAAATAGCCTCCGCCCTTGCTCCCAGTCAGTTTTACAGCAGCCAGGTGGATTTCGTTCTCGCAGTCATCCCGGTAACTTCAAATGTATTTTCTTACCCATTTTTCCCTCCCTGATATGTTGCTGCTGCTCCTATAGGCCTAACTTACCTCCATCTTCCACTTCTCACGCACTTCCCCCTCCGACGCCACGTCTGCTACAAGATATAGTTGAAATATCTGCCTACCTAGGAGCTTTACGTTCATTTGGATCGCCTTCTGGCTTCTGGCATAGTGGAGTAATTCCTCAGATCTGCTCAGTTTGGGTTGTCTTTGCAGGCATTTCATGGTGCCTGAGGTGCTGAAACGCTACCGGACAGTGTTGTTCCCAAGGCGGTGTGGCCGACCAGTGTGTGGGAGTGCGTGTACCTGCCCCACTCAAAGTTCACTTTCATCTCTGTCGGGACTCCCCTTCAGACTGTCAGCTGACAGCATGATCTCAAGTCCTAACACCAGCATTTGTTTGCAAGACGAGGTGGTTCAAAACTTCTGTCAGTTTAAGTAATTTCATAAATTATTTCAGGAGAAGGAGCTGATCAATTTTGAAGACCCCGTAGTTAACTTTAGATAATAACCTGGCAGTGAGGTTAATACATTTACTTAATTTGCCAGACGCTTTTATCCAAAACGACTTAAATTTGAGGAACAAATGACTTAAATCAGTAAAGCATAACAGTAAGATATCTAGGACTACAAGTGACAGGAGGCAATAGGCTAGCCTACTAGTAGCCTAAGCGCAGCAATAGGTCTAAATAGTCTACTAGTAAGAAAAATAAATACATAGACTTTCAACAATAGTTAGGTTACATTAGCAGCTACATAAAAATCTAATTCTCACAATGCCTTAATTAGCTAAAGAATCACAATTTAAGCTACATGACAACTAAAGTTAGTGTCTATAAGTCCAGTGTGGTCCTGCTATTGTTGACTCTCGACTCCATCTAGTGGTGACATTGTGCCAAGTGCTGAGATTTAAATGCACCCGATAAAGCTTTATTTTACTAAGTTTTAAAAAGTTTACAGGTGCAAACAGGGCAACAAACACACTGATTGGCAAGAAGAGATAGATGCAGGAGCATTTATCGCCTCTTGATAACAGTGCTTGAAGTGGGTGTTTTCTTCTGTGGTTAAAGAGGTGGTGCGCTGTTTTGGTTTGGATTGCAGAAAGGTGAAACCGGGCAGAATAAAAGGGGCCACACCTTTTGGCAGAGTATGACCGACTCTTAAAATGTATAGGCCTACGGTTGATCTTATTCCACATGTCGTTCAATAAAGTAGGCTAAATATCCGCAGGTGGTGAAGATAAAAGTTTAATTGCAACAATTTAACTGTAAGAAGTAGAAGTCTAAAAGCCATGTGCCATATTGGCCCGGGGATTATTCAGTATTGGACAATTCTGGAGCAAAATTACATCCAGCGAATGAAAGACGCACTTTAATGTGCACAATGGTATAGAAATCAAAATGCTTCTTACCATTTGTCTTTTCGATCCCATTCGTTTCCATCCTTTCTGAATTTGATCCCTCTGTCTTATTTTTTTTTTACGCAGTCAGGTCTTGTCTTTCCACGTTTCGCTTGCTGCACCGTTTCATCCAAAATTGCTTCTTCTTTCCATGTAAACGCAATTAAGCTATGTAAAACGACCTGGGATTGGGGTTGCTGAGCCGGATATGAAGACAACACACCTTAGGCGGCGAATCAGGTGGGATTTCCCGGCAGTCTGAATGGTGTCAGTTCTCCTGCGGGCTCAAGCACCGGTTTCACAAGCCTGCTATGCAAGCAGCGGTGCCGATGTCACAATAGTTTAGGTTACACCTTCACACCATCTTATCCCAACATACTGTTTGACTTAAGAGCAAGCAGTTAAAGCATGCCACATTATTAGTTGGTCTTTGCACCTGGAATGAAAAATCTTTAATCTACAGCCTATCTTTTATAATAAATGTTCTCTAAAGCACTTCAAGGCCCATTCCTTCCCCAGAGGAAACTATGTGAATAAAATTGGAGGGGAGCTCACTTGAGAAGCACTCAAGTAACTGTAATCAGGTCTTATAAGTAATATTGTGGAAATTTCACTTCATGTCTTTGTCAGTTGTATTTCATGGGGACAGCTGATCCTTATTTGAACACAAGGTAAGAAGAATATGATCAAGAGGGCTGATTAACAGATTAGGCTCTCTGTCCATCTACATAGTTCACAGTAAGTTTGAGCATATTAGTTGACACTGAATGGGACTTTTTATTTTGGCTTTCCTTTCATGTGCATCTCAGCCTTGCCTGGATAACAGCACTGCAATCACTGGTGCGTCTGGGGCTCTTGTGGCTCTCAGCACTTCCCTTTCAGTCCTGGCTTACCCTCAGGGCACTGTCAGCATCAGGATGAGTGAGCTTTAGTGCAGCATCAGAGGGAGAGCTTCCGGACAAGGGCCGACCACTTCCAAAATGTACAAACGAGGTTCAGGAAAACACGTAGGAAAACAGAGTGCATCTTTGTCTTTGTCAAGTTTTTACCATGGTTCTGTTTGAGAACAGAAGGTTATTTTAACACTGCACATGTGGGTTTTTTTACCTTGAGAGAAAAAAAACGTGCAAGAAAACATGCATTTTATCTTGGTTTCACATTTTGTACACTTAAATACCTTCATTTGGGAGCTTCTCTGATCCATGTGTGCCATTTGGGCTTGAGTCCCTTGCTCAAGGGCAACTTGAAGTACCTGATGAGGCAGGAGTGAGTATTACACTTTCTCTGGTCAGATTATTTAACCATTTCTTGTCCCTTTCTTTTAGCTCCATAATTGGCTCAAATCTTCTGCTCATTTAGGTAGAGATGAAGGCAGAGTACAATTATTTCCTCGCCCAGAGCTGGTTTGGATTGTTGTACACCATAGATCAATTGAATCAGACAAAGTGGTGACGATTTTTACATTCTCAGAGACATGTTAAGTTACAATTTTATTAAAATGTCCCCATTTTCTATTAACAGAACTCCTAATGTAAAAAAAAACCAAATAAAAACATTCAGCATTAGCCACCCCCTGCTGCACTGCCAAACTAGTCAATGTGCTTTTGTAAAAATCACTGAGTCCAGAAAAAGGGATTTGCAGCAAAGGCTGGTTTGTATGCAGACCATGGAACAACTAACCAGCGAACTGTGACTCTACTTAAATGAATTTGGATAAAGCGGACAGAAATTTAATGTGTCACATAAACTTCTGCTCAATTGAAAACAGCTCTGTAAACAGAATAAGTGACCTCTGATAAGTCTGTGTCTTTGCTTGGTCCCTGTTGAACATGTAAGAGCAGGCCACACTGCTTCCTCACATACCAAAACATCCTCATGCCTCAGGACACTGTTTCACTGACATTCAATTCCTGGGTTACCAAAGGATACAGCCCGAAGAGTAGGTATCTGCCACAGAAATGACAAAAATTTGAGTTATGAGAACTGCAGTCTGTTGAGTTTTTAGCACAGTCCATCTGCTTTTCATGAACCTTCTTGGCAAATCCCACATTTCAACCTGGAGACTGAAAGATTAAGTCTGATTAGATCTGTCTGCAGTTCATTTGTGGGAAGTATCTAAGCACATCTACTAAAGTACTCTACCAAAGTACAATTTTAAAGTTTGCTTTTCTTGTACATTTCCATTTTGTGCTACCTTCTTTTTCTACTCCACCACATTTTAGAACAAAATAGTGTACTTTTACTAACCTGTAAATGACAGTTTTATTTACTACTTTTCAAGATTTTACAAACAAAACATATAATGAATTTATTAAAATTAAGGAACTGGTTTAGAGTAATCGACCCAGCATTGTGTCTTTGAAGGTTCTCAGTCATCCAGGTCATAGTATCCAAGGAAAGTTAAAATCAAGGGCAACTTAAGGGCAATTTAAGTTGCCCTTAAATTGGAAAGTTAGTTGGAGAAAAATTTGGAGATGTTTGGTCAATCAAAATAAAAAGTGGGATGTTATCAGTGACTGTGTGTCAAAGCGGCTGAGAGATCAAGCTTTGAGGATTAAAATGTATAAAGATTATAGCAGTTTGAAATGCTTCCCACTCAGGTCAGAAATCAAAAAGAAAGGAGTTGTAAGTGGCGTACCGCAGTCAGCGGAAGATGAGGAATTTGGGGATATTGAAGGTGTTTGTGAGGCAAAATTCTGTCAAGGAGAAAGGGAGCAAAGTAATTCTGTGTGTTTAACTTTTGAGGGAGATTTGCCAGAGAGGGTACATTTAGATTACATATGTTACAAGGTGAGACCTTATGAAAGAGCTCCATTAAGGTGCTTCTGTTGTCAGGAGGATGAACATGTGGCTGCAGTATATAGAGGAGTCAAAAGAAACTGTGAAAGAGAGGAGTGTGAAGAGGAGCAGGAACAAGCAAAGTGCATTCACTCTGTGGGAAACTACCATCAGCACAATGTCTGAAAAAATAAAACAAATAAAAGTGAGTAAAGTCAGAGCAGAAGAGGGTCTGTCATACGCTGAAGCTACCACGAGACTAGAAAGAAAGGATGAACGAGCAGCAGTGCAAAAGGAAGGGAGCAAGATCGTGTTGGATGCAGCAAGGGGATTCTTGTACATTTCAGACATATCAGGAGAAGAAATAGTCACAACACTGACACCATCTCAGTCCATTGGGTCTGAGTCATTGAACGGACAATGCACTGAATGGGAGTACTTTGGGTGGGCACTGTAAATTTATTGCACTTGGGAAAGTATTTCATCCGGTAAGTGGCAGTAATACAACATTTTGGATGTCAACTGCCAGGAACCACGAAAAAGAAGAACGCATTTAGTTGAGGCATTTGCGCCCTCTATTGGGTCTACTTTGCACACTACATGTGTACGAAAAGCGTATCTATTACCTAAAAGACTGAAACATTTCAATTAACCTGAATGCTGTTGGCCAGTAACTATCTCAACAAGGGGGTTCACCTGCAGATGTTTTCTGTTTCCGAGTTTGTTTGTTGTTTTTAGACATATAGCAGACTTTGCCGCACTCAAGATGGCGACATCTTTGTGCCTCCTTCAGAGTTCGTACGTAATACGATGCGTCAGCCGCGCGCAAAGTTGTGTTGACGGCAGGAGCGGCAGGAGTTGTCAGCGGAACAGCCTGCATTAGACGAATGGAGTAACAATAAACATCTTTCTCCCTGTTACCATTTAGACGTGTTGTTTACACCGCCCACACAACGACACCATGGCAGACGACCAGTCCTCTCAACCCTGGTCAATCGACAGGGATGACTACGAACTCAATGAGGTGATAGGTGAGTAGCTTAGCATGCTAAAGTTAGCATCCGAGCCTCCCCTGTGTCTAAAGCCAACTGGCACTAGCCAACTAGCATCGCATGTCTTTTAGCTAACAGAAGGCCAGTTACAACCCGCAGCTACATGTCAGGAAGGTTAACAGCTCTGCAGAGGTTCCCCCTGGTAAGGCCAAATCAGTTTTCTGCTAGGTAGCTAGTTGGCGAGCTAAAGTGTGATGGCTCCTTAGCAAGTCAGCTTGAAGCTAAAGGGCTAACTCAAGTTAGCTTACAGTGCGTGAGGACTAGTCAGTTGGAGAGGGTGGTGCTCCTTTGCTGAAAGTATGACACGGATTATAGTGAGCCATTCATTCTATACACTAAGTTAGCTCAGGTAACGTGATTGATGACTTTGAACAAAGAGTTGGTCTGATGTGGTATTTAACTGCCGTTTTTTATAATCCAAGATTGATGCTACGTATTACAGTAATGTGTGAATACTATAAATGACCCAATCTTTGAAACTAGAGCCTACTTAAATTTAGCACTTGCACACAAAATGCTTAGTCGAGCTGTCATATTCTGACTGCTGTCTTCGCTGCTCCTACAGTTTCACTCTTAATGTTGTTCTACTCAGGGAGCGGAGCCACTGCAGTTGTCCAGGCAGCATACTGCAAACCCAGAAAGGAGAAGGTGGCCATCAAACGCATCAACCTGGAAAAGTGTCAAACTAGCATGGACGAGCTCTTGGTAAGAAACTGCAGCAGTGTGTGGGCCAGTATCTGCAGTCCAGATGCTCTGTGTGTGTGTGTGTGTGTGTGTGTGTGTGTGTGTGTGTGCGTGTCTATCTTTCTGTTTGCAGGGAGTGGTGTGGTTGGTGGCATCACATCAGTCAGGGACAGATCAGAAGCTTGGTACCACAACAACCACTGAGTACTAGAGCTGGGTGAAATCAATAAGACACAACGTAAAGACATATGAAATGGAAATACGTAATATATTCCTGTGGCATATCATAATGTCTTCTTCACTTTATTTTACACAGCTGACATGAGTGTAAAGTCTCCTACACACACTTCATCACTGTTAAGTTTCTCAATACCACCAAGTTGTCAGCAACAACAGTAAACATTGGTTCTACATTAAACATTGGATACACTACAATGTGATCATTTGTAATGTTTAACACGTTATCATTTACAGAAAGTGTTTTTATTAGCTTCAAAGCAAACCTGTGAATAGGATATAAATGTATGTGCAACAGAATGTTAAAGCTTTGCTGGACATTTCTGCTGACTGTATGTGCAGGATTTTTCTGTCTTGCATTTTCACCAGCTATAGAACTACAGAAAAGAAAAGCTTAGTCAGTGTTTTATGTGTTAGTATTTTGTTATTCACCCTTGTGATCAGATGACAAAGCAAACTTTTAATATTGCAATAGCAGTGCAAATTGTGGTACAGTAATCCAGGGATTCCTGCAGCATTTTATAGTAGAGACATCCCACCTTGCCTGAAATAAACTCCGCTAGCATCAGATGAAATTATTAAATTTTTATGAAATGTAATATTAGACTGATTAAGCTTAGGGGGCAAACAAATAGACAAATCTGCTTATTAAATAAGTAAGGTGCTTGTTGAAACTGTTAACTAGCAATACATTGAAAACAAAATAAGATGTGTCAGGAGCTGTCTGATTCACCTCAGCAGGTGATTGATTAATTGGCTTTGTGCTAGTAATTAATCTGATCTAATCTGACATCGATGCAAAAAATACTGTAAGCCTATGCCTTAAAAGCGGGTCTTGTTTCCTACACAGTTCTTTTATAACCACAAGGATTAAAGAGATGACTACTTTTGTAGAATTGGAGAAGCAAAATCTCTATTGGTTGTCACATCAACTTGCTTTATCGGCCAACCCTACTGCACAGTTACAAATATGACTTTTTTTATGTGCTTTTTTTCAGCTGTGCAATGGCAATCATTTACATGAAAATGAAACTTAAGGTAGAACATCTGAGAGATTACGCTGCATCAGTCAGTTCTCCTCATCCTTGTGCAATTATTGCTTATCAAGGGCTGTCAAATATCAACAGTGCAATGTTTGCCATCTGATGAGAATATTCCATTATATTACCCTTATGTTCCAGGACTTCCACCCACCCAGTAATTGTATAATAGTTCAAGGTCCTGAATTCCCCTATATCTGTCATCTAGGTTAAAAACGTCTTGGCTTCGTGGCTCAGTGGTGATGTAACCCAGCTTGGAGTCAGTCAGGCTCTGTGTACTCCTTTTTAGGATTGAGTCATTTTAACAGAACAGGCTGACTGTGAGGAAAGTTTAGTTTGTCACTGAAAGTGTAATATTAAGATTTAGTTAGTGCTATGCTTTGTACTCCACTACTTCGTGTGACCTTACATCCCATATTTTCTTCTCTGTGCAGAAAGAGATCCAGGCCATGAGCCAGTGCCACCACCCGAACATTGTGTCTTATTATACCTCCTTTGTGGTGAAGGATGAACTGTGGCTGGTGATGAAGCTGCTCAGTGGTGGTAAGTGCTGTAATGTTTAAAGAAACTTTGCCTCTGACTTGACTCTTATCTTCGCCTTGACATGACATTCTTTGTCATGCCAACTTGAAAAAAAATGTTATATCAAATAATATGGCTAGAAAATATTTTGTTTTGAAGTGATAATTCTGAAGATTTAATGACACCTGTGGTCAACGGTCCTATGAATCGTTCGTACGTTGATAGACAATTTGAGTCCAGCGTGGGAATGGCAGGCTCCGCCAAAAGGTTTTGGTCGCCCAGCCCTACCATAGATGATATCAAAAACAGGGTTTGATATAAGGAAAATCTTAAGCATTATTACTTTCAACATTCTTTGTGTGTTTCTGGGTAAACAGTTACTTATAACATTTTGTCAGTATAGCTTAAGGGAAGACATTTAAATGTTGGGAACGTTTCGTTTGTTCAAGTTACAGTCGTGAAAACGTTTTTTTTGTTTTTTTGAATGTTAGAGACTTTTCTAAGCATCAACTTTTGTGACTTGTGAGGACTGGATCCTTTTTAAGTAGTAACTTTCACTTTGAAAATTCACCAACAGCTAGCAGTCCGTTCATAGACAAACAACAGACAACAACATAAAAGCTTAACCTCAGTAAATATTAGGTAAAGTCAGGTGCGTTCTTCCAGAGGTCGGTTGCTGCTGATGGGGAGCTCTGAGTGAGACTGTCGGCACGTCTTGTGACAAGCCTCTGCCTTTCTCTCAGGCTCAGTGTTGGACATCATCAAGCATATCATCTCTCGTGGCGAGCACAAGACCGGAGTGCTGGATGAGGGCAGCATCGCCACCATCCTGAAAGAAGTCTTGGAGGGGCTGGAGTACCTTCACAAAAATGGGCAGATTCATCGGTGAGCTCCAATAATGTGTCAGCAGGCCTGCGGGCCAATGCCTTGTCACCACTGTACACTGTGTTAGTGCAGTTTGATTCCCATCATACACTCGGCTGTCTGAGCTTCCTCTTGCATTGAGCCCTTCAGTTCTGCATATGAGCGTGTGGTTTAAACTAGACCCTGCTCGCTCCTTTAATATTTAATACAGTGAAAATGCATAATTGAGGAGGTTTGTTTTACATAAAAGTTCCTCCCAGGAACACTGTGAACCAGCACCAAAAAGAAAGGCCTCTGTGTCCTCTCTGCCTTGTTGCAAGACAAGGGTTATTGTTTTCTTTAGTCCGAGTGTTGTGACGTATTTTGAAAGATGGTTTATTTTTACGGCTTCACTATGATGATGTATTATATTGGATAAATCCAATAGAATCCTCATTTGATTTGTTTCTAATGTTATAGTTAGAGAGCGATTGGACAGTATTTTCAGCAAGAGAGAGCAGCTGCTGACTGAGCTCAGATGCTATGGCTAACACACTTACACCTTAATCCACTCCTGTTCTTTGTGCATAGTTTGCACTCAAAGTAAGCAAACAGGAAGGTGGATTAAAATGAGGCAGATCAAGGTGAAGCTTTAACGTGTTTGTGTGCAAGAGTGCTCTGCTCATTTGCAGAGTCAGTGTGCACAGCCTAACCACTCGTGTTTGTGCAGGTATTGACTTGTGACATTGTTTATCATAGGGGTGTGACGAGACACTTAGCTCATCAGACGAGACACGGTGTTGGGTTCACAAAATCAAGAGGACATTTTAACACTATTTTTAAGAAATCTTCAATGCTGAATTATATGAAAGAAATTGAGCATTTAACACTTTATTTTCTGCATTCTGGAGATTTTTTCTGCATCCATTTATGGTGGAAATGTTTTTATTTATGTAAAGGGAAACACAAAATTCCAAAATGTAAAACTATAACAGAATATAATGCGGTGCAGCTCTCAGGCGTTCTTTATAGCTTTCAAATATGTTTTCTGATCAACCTTTCTCATTTAATATCATCCCTGCTGAGTCAGCACACATGCAGGCATGATTGTGCCTTTTTGTTTTGGGGAAATAACCACTTTAAATTTCACCTCAATGATAAATGAATTCATTTTAATTCAGTTATAAATTCCTGGACTTTAACAGCTCCTGTGTTTCAGCAGGTTTTCTGCACATTCAAAATCTATTCCACATATGTGTTCTGACAAAAACTTGTAATATTACGAGACTAACGTCGTCATTTAATGAGAATTCATAATTTAAAAAAAAAACGTCTACCTGATCTATACACTAATGTGCATTAGGTTATTGCTCCACTGGTAGTAACGTTATCCCTTCTAGACAGTTTGGATATTGAAACTAACTGAAATCTTGTCACATTGCAATCCCTATTTATCATGTTTTAATCCTCCCTCTCTTCTTGCACAGGGATCTAAAAGCTGGAAATATTCTTCTTGGGGAAGATGGCTCAGTGCAAATTGCTGGTACACTCATTTTTCTTTTTAGCGTGTTTCTGCATAATTACAGTATTTACATTCCTCAGTAGACAGTTTCTGTCTAGATTTGTCTGTTCAATTCTGACATATATAATACAAACAATATTTAGGTATGAATTTAAGTAATTTCAATAATTCTTCTCTATTTTCTTTCTCTCTGTCATACATCCCTAATCACACACTGCCCAGACTTTGGCGTGAGTGCCTTTCTAGCAGCAGGAGGAGACATGACAAGGAACAAGGTTCGGAAGACATTTGTGGGGACGCCATGCTGGATGGCCCCTGAGGTCATGGAGCAGGTGGGAGGCTTATTTTGTACAGGGCTTCTTTCTCTCCCCGTTTTCTCTCTGTAATTCCTCAGAACTCAGCGATAAAAGGAAGACTTGAGCTCTTTGTTCACTTGATCCTGTTACAATCCACAGGTCCGCGGCTATGACTTCAAAGCAGACATCTGGAGTTTCGGGATAACAGCTATTGAACTGGCCACTGGAGCTGCACCATATCACAAATACCCACCCATGAAGGTAACTGTGTGTGCACCTACTGGTATTCGCTGCATCTCTTAAGGTATCGTTTGTCTAGGGACATGAGACGTTCAGTTTTGCTAGCTACAGCTGTCCGCTTGATTAAGTTTTAATTAAGTTTTTTGTTTTGTTTCCCCATTAAAAAGACGACTTTAAACAGCTCTTAAAAAACAAGAACATTTTAAGGAGTTCTGTAGCCTGTTTAACTTACTGTAGCATATTATGGAAATGCTGGTGTTTTAAATTCTAAAGAAACCTTTGGAGGGAGGACATTTGTTTCTGTCCAGTGAGTCAGCACAGATTGGTGTTCATAATTAAAGGGTGCCTCAGTTTTGAATTAGCAGGTGTTTTGATATCAGTTTACTGAAGCTAATCTGTGCACGTCTCTAGGTGCTGATGCTGACTTTGCAGAACGACCCTCCCTGTCTGGAGACGGGCATCACAGACAAGGAAATGGTGAAGAAATATGGCAAGTCCTTCAGGAAGATGCTCTCCCTGTGCTTACAGAAAGACCCAGAAAAAAGGTGCGTTAGTCAACAAACCTTTGTTTGTTTTTTTTGCCTAATGCCAGATGAGAGTAGTGCTCATTTTGCTTTCTGTTAGATTACCCAGTTTTGTAATGAAAATAATGAATAGCCTTTTTGTCTTTTTGTCTTTTTCCTTTTTAGGCCAACTGCAGCCGAGTTGCTGAAGCATAAATTCTTCACAAAAGCCAAAGTGAGCCTTACGTCACTATCATAAAAATAAACTGAAATATTGTTTGTGTTTTGAAGAGAATCTCTATAGATACTGTAAGAAATATTTGTCTTTCTGTTACAGAACAATGAGTATTTGCAGGAGAGGCTCCTACATAAAGGCCCGACAATAACAGAGCGGTCCAAAAAGGTTTGATTGTCATTACTAATACTCTATGAATGCGCAGTAGTTGGAAGATTTAATGTCTGTCTATAATCTTGTGTTGCTCTGCATTGGTGTGCCGTCTTGCCTAAGGTGTGTCCCAGTTCCTAACTTTTTGCCTAATGTGGGAAACGCCCATGAAAAGTATTAACCAGAAAGATGGGATCACTTATGAGTCAAGTCAGTATTAAGTGTTGCATCTTAAAAAAAAAAAAATAATAATGTTTTGCATTGTGTAGGTGCGTCGTGTCCCCGGCTCGAGTGGACGTCTCCACAAGACGGAGGATGGCGGTTGGGAGTGGAGTGACGATGAGCTGGACGAGGAGAGCGAGGAGGGCAAAGCTGCCGTGGCAGCTCTGCGGGTGAGACTCTGCATGCCTGTTTCTTCAGCCGCTTCGGTTTACTGCATTTCTCACTTGGCTTGGCATCCTTATGGCCAGCAGATGGTGCTGTTGGACTGTTTATCTTACTTAGGAGTTTGCTTTTGTTTAGAGCCTGTTGCCTCAGTGTCCGTGTGGTTCAAGTTTAGATTATTTATCTCGAATTGTTTTGTCTGGACTAGTAGTTGTTTGACGGTTTTGTACTATAAGCTCCATGTTGCTGCTGTTGGAATAGAGATTGTTTTAGTGGAAACATAACAGGACCAATTATTGCATAGTATTTACAGCAATTCTGTATGTTTAGTGAAGTGCGGCCACAGTATGAAAAAGACTTGTACCTGACACTGATTTAGCTGGGCAGCAAAAGATGTAATTGTATAAGATACAAGATACAAACTAGCTGGTAACTAGACCAGACACCTGCTCAGATCACCTGTTCTTTACTTATTCTCAATTCATGTCTTGGTGTGGGATTCTACTGTTTTTTTATCTTGACTGTGATTTCAGTTCATCCCTCTGTTTAAAGTCACCTTGGGTCAAATAATTTCAATCGTACAATACTCCATCTGTCTATTCATTGGGGGATAAAAGGAGAATAAATGCTTTTAATCCTGACAATCTGTCATGTCCATTCTGCAGTCACCCAGAGTGAAGGAGGGGTCCCAGAATATGGAGGTGAGTCCATTTGTAGTGGGCATGACCTGAACATCTTGATTTATGCCTTGAAAATTAAATCTACATGGCTGTCCTATGTGTGTTCTCTTTCTTTCCATATATGTAAAACTGAAAACATCTGCTGATTCATTTGCACATTCGTGTCTCTTAGCTTTTCCCGCCAGCAGATAGCTCCACGGGACATCTCAAGCCACCTGGCGCTGCCCATGAGAGCCCTGCAAATGTGGGCCAGGCTCCACCACAAGCTCCCACTCAAACAGCAAGCCCTTCACATGCACCCACTGCTCAGGTAAGAACATGAAAATAAGTAAGTGGGGAGCTTTTTAGATAACGCTCCAGTACTTTTGCTTAAGTTATACCAGTATCACTTCAACTGCTTATTTCAGTATTTTCTTTACAGATACTTAATCAGAGTCTCTTAAAGTTTCACAGAGTAAGTTTTAGTGGCATTTAGTGGAGAGGGTTGTGAATTTCAACCAACTGCTCAGCCCCCACTCAACCCTCCCTATGCAAGCGTGTAGGAGAAGCTACGGTGGCTGAAACTCTCTGTCTGTACTTGTGCTAAATAATACTTGTGGTCCTCTATTTGTTCAAATTTCCCTTCTCTACTTACTTCTAACAAACAAGATGACGACGACGACTACTACTTCTTCTTGTTTCTTCGCACGTATTTAATGTAGTGACAAAATGTGTTCTGTAGAGCAGTTTGTCCATTTGGGCTACTGTAGAAACATGGCGGCGCAGTAGATAGAAATGACTCATTCTAAGGTAATTAAAACATAACGGTTCATTATGTAAGGTCTTTATACAACACTGTAAGCATAGTTATATATATATATTATTTTGCATTTCTGTCAGTAGATTATCCTAAATATTACACACTGAACCTTTAATGTTAACTTTTTAAATTAGCATTTTTTGGTAATTGATTCACTGCTTTTGTTGGCACATTGATGTGTGTCTTGGTGTGATCAGTGGAATAGCTTGAAACCTGCGTCAGGATGTGAATCACACATCGTCCTTGTGCATTTACCATTACAAACTAAACTGGTGATCTACTTGTGTGCACTACTGACGTCACAGTGCACATTTCAGCTTTCTGAAACCTCTGCACACTGTGCTTTGTTAATTAAGGGTTTATTTGTGAAGCCCTAATTCACACCCACTCAGCCAAAAGGCCTTACATCCCCTTCAGTGTGAAACAATGGGTGATAAATGAACATCTCTAGACGACCCCTCAATTAGATCAACCGAAACCTCCAACCACAGGCGTTAATTATAGACATATAATGATACTCACGGAGACGGGAGGTGTGTCATGGGCACTATGAATGGGTTAGTCAAGCATTTTTATCTCCCTGTTCATTCTAACCAGAAGTGCTGTACAGTGATTATTATGCTGTTGTGCTGTTGCAGGATCCAGCTGCAGCCAATGCCAGTGTTCCCATCAGCCTCGTCCTGAGACTGAGGAATCTCAAGAAGGAACTCAATGACATCCGATTTGAGTTCATGTCTGGCAGAGGTAGGATTCCTACCCTAGCTTTTTTCTCTTTCATCATGCAGCTAACAATCTCAAGTCTAAATCTTTGGTGTTTTCTCTGCACGTCTGTCCTCAGATTCTGCTGATGGAGTTTCTCAGGAGTTGGTCTCAGCAGGTCTGGTTGATGGGAGAGACTTGGTCATTGGTAAGTAATGGATATAAGCCCTGTAAGGATGTTATCAGTAAACATGAACTTTACCACCTCAGTGTACATGTCTTCTAGATTTAGTTTTCTTTTAAAGTGTATTTAAAGCATCTAAAATGTTTTTAAATGTTTGAATCGTAGTAAATGTGCTGAAGCATGCAAACATGCTGGTACAGTATAAAATCCTATTGTTGTGTTTCACACATCATAAAGTGAATGTGGTTCACACCAACACCAGTGCCTTGAACTCCCTGTTGTGTATGCAAGTGCACTGCACTTTACTACCTTTTTATTACGGCTGTCTATACATCGTTGTCACAGCTGATTAGGTAACATCTCCGACACGGCCACCAAATGGGAGCAAACATACCTCGAAGCCCGTTGTGCAACGTTGCACACTGTTCCTAGAAAACATGTTGTTAAATCTGAAATGTAGCCAACAGGAGCTAAATGTTTAAAGATTGAACTCGCCCCAGTTGTTTACCTGTTTTCACCACTGATCATGATGTCTTTACATTAGTTGGTCATCTGACATGGTCCTCTCGTTTGTGTCTTCTGTGTAGTTGCAGCCAATTTGCAAAAGATTGTTGACGATCCTCACAGTAACAAAAATGTGACTTTTAAATTGGTAAGTACACAGTGAGAACAATGTATGAAGGAAAAAAAATATATGTATTTATATATGTATGTGTGTGTGTGTGTGTGTGTGTGTGTTTGTAATGTTGTTCTCTCTCTTCCAGGCATCTGGCGTGGAGGAGTCTGAAATTCCTGATGATGTTAAACTCATTGGATTTGCGCAGCTCAGCATCAGTTAAGTCAAATAGAGCCAGTGACAGAAGGACAGAAACAAATGGTATTGCACAGCTGCATTGTAGTCAATAAGTCCAAGAAACCACTACTGCCAAAGAGTGGAGGATGAGGAGGAGACATGATGCTGGCAGCAGTGTGACGAGACTGCAGGATACATGAGGACCAGATTGAGAAGGGGCTCAGTTCATCACAGGAATCACACTTGAAACAGTTTACAGTGCGCTTATACAGTAAATGGGAGACGAGATGCAATCAACTATATCAACTCCTAATTTCTTTGTCTTTTTTTTTTCTTCCTCTTCATACATAAGCACAATCCAAACCAATCTCCTGCCAGTACTGGAAGTGATTGCCTTTTTTTTTGTTTCTTTAAATCAACTGTGCCACAAGAGTGTCGTGCAACCTTTAAATGGCACTTTATGCTACACTGAAATTGAAAAGTGTAAATTCAGCCTTAGTTACTCAAACTATAGATTTTACCAGTCCATTGGGTGAAAAATTTAGTCTATCTGTGTATTTGGCGTATGCTATTTACGCCTATCCCAGAAATCTAAGAAAATGACCTATAAACACAGTAGCTTAGTTTTAGTTTTGTAATTCTGTAAATTCAGATGGATTTTTACTTAACATATAATAAAATGACCAGATTTCTGTATAAGGCAGCCCAGGGCGTGTGGTGTTTTCTCAAAACATAACCAAGGTTCCGACTGACTGCACTGCTGAAATCATATAAACATACATAAATCAACTGTAACTGTCTAATTACTGCAGTTACAACACTGTCAGATGGCGTTTTTCCAAGGTATTCAAAGACGGCATTATGTTGACAAATTGAAACCTGCCTAATATTCTTGTACTATGCAATAGGTATTTTCTTTTCACCGTATGTGACCACTGGTTGCTGATATTTCTTTTGAGTTGAATAAATCCAATTTTTCTGCGTGTACCTCACTAGGAGTTCATGAAGTCAAACAACCAGCTTTGGGTACCTGCAGTGTGCACGTTCACAAACAGTCACCATAGTGAAAACTGAACACACCAATGGACAGACATGGGTAATAACTGCTGTTAACTATGTACCCTTGTAAATCACCTCTGAAGCTTGATTTATGATCCTGTATCGAATCTACTACACTCGAAGCAGAAGTATAAATCAGGCTTAAGAGGTGATTTTGCCTGTTTACTATTATTGTTGTTACAGCTGGGAAGAATCTTGAATGCTGGCAATGAGTGCCGAGCCTAGGGCTGCTTATATTACAAGCTGACTGCTGATGAACTTCTGTGGAGGTGTACATGGTCAAAAACTGAAAATGTTCCACCAAACTGAAATAAAGCTTAAAGGGGCAGTTCATCCAAATGGCAAAAAAAAAATTATATACTCTAAAAAATATACAGTATATAGATTGTGTCACTTGCCTCTAGTGGTATTTAGCCATGCAGAGAGTTTTGATCTTATTTGCAGAGGTTTTGAGTTGTTTGTCAAAATTTCAATTTGTCCAAATACTAAATGCCTGCAAACGAACATTCCCATCAGCCTCAGCTGTATGTTGTGTTGCTAATTTAGCAAATGTTAGAACACTCTCAAGATGATGATGATGAACATGGTAAACATTATACCTGCTAAGCATCAGCATGTTAGCATTGTCATTCTGAACATGTTAGCATGCTGACATTAGCATTTAGGTCAGTGCACTGGAGTGCCTAAGTAGAGACTCACAGAGCTGCTAGCATGGCTGTAGACTCCTGTGAGCACTATGAACAAAATCCCATTCATCCCCATTGTATTGAGGGACAGTAGAAATCTGTACATCTGGATACTGCTAAAGGTAAAGGTTTTATATGTTGGATGAAGTGTAACCCTTTAAACTTCTCCAGGAGCCAGGTATTACTTTAGTTCTTTTGTCATTAGGCAAATTGTTTTACAGGACTGTAGTCTCTTTGCTTTATAAACACTCACCAAAAAAACACTGTCGTCACTCCCAGTGTAGCTGTATGGTTGTTTAGTACCACGTGCAAAGGGCTGTGAAATAGCTCCAAGTTCAGGTACTGATGTAAATGGTGTATGTAAAGATGTTGTAAATGTATGTATGATGGCAACCCCATGCACTGTTACACAAACATGAGGTTTGTATGTAATGATGTAGATGCATTGACTGTTTTAAGTGTTTATGTCAGATAAAAGGAACATTTTGCTTATGTAAATATTGATTAATGTAAGCAGACCGACTCATGAGTTTAATTTGTTTTGTAGTGGTGTTTCCCACTGTTGGCCTTTTTCAGAGCATCACTTACCATGCACAACTTGTTTGTTTAATTGGCACCTTATTGATCTGTTAACATTAGTACTTTTGGAATTACATGGGGCTTGTAATCACACACTCTTGTGCTAAGATGTCATGATATGCATTTTTTTTTCTCACTCAAAACCTGTCCAACGCTAATGGATGAAATGTCATTTTTATAGACGGATGGCACAGGTTACACTTCTCTCTCTCTCTCTCTCCGTGTATGTATGCGATTTTGGTGATAAAATGATGGACCATCAAAGGCTTTGAGTTGAAAGTCACTTGGATTTACTAAATTTATTTCCCCATTATTGTTTATTCATCAGAAAACCATCATTCTGCATCTTTATGGGGTCACTGAATAAGTATTAATTTAATCACTCGATTGGCAAGTACACTTTAATTTTTTTAAACGCTTGTTTTTGTTTTACAGATCATTACGTATATTTTTTAATTTTGATTAATTATAAAATGTGTACATCAAAAAATGGATAATTTGAAGTGGAAAGAGAGAAAGAGATTCCTTGACATATATAGATTATTGGAAAATGTCAACACATGCAGATGATTTTTAGTAGCTGAATAAAGTCACATGATGGAATTCAATGAGTGAGTACAGTGTTTAATTGAATTGTGACGTCTCAAAGCCTCATTTTTGTGTTTGTCAACAGGTCTCCCATTAGTAAACCAGGATTGCAAGATTAAAGTCAGATGGTTAATAGATTTTTTTAATCTGTAAGATCTGTAGCTGTGCATGACATTTTGTGAACAAATGAAAATTTTTTTGTCAAAATAATCACCAATGTGTTCGTGCATAAAGATGTGCACAGATGTTTACAGTTATGCATCTACGCATGTTTGTGGGGGCAAAAGTTCACACAGAACTCAAGTTTACTGGTACGAATCAAAGCTACAGTTACAAACACTTTTGTCTCACTTTTGACACTTCCTCCTGAATAGCCAATCAAGATGCGCAAATTAACATATCATTTCACTAAAGTGATAAAATTGTAGAAAATAATAAGTTATGTAGGTTACATTGTGTAAGATACACAAGTAACGTTACCTTCATAAGTTAAGTGACGTTATTTTAAGCCCTGCCCTGATTGAGGAGGTTTGGTGCCTAAACGTAACAAAATTATGCTGTTTCACAACGTTAACCACTAGTTTTATTTTGAAAGCCTTACCGGACGTTGCATATTTATTATTGCTAACATTACCACAGAGCCTTACATGCCAAAAAATGATAAAGGGCAAAGCCAAAAGTTCTTGACTAAGCATCCATATGTGACGAGTTGGATCTGATAATGTGTTGGTCTTTGAGTCTAAGCTGGATTCAGTGCAGTTAGGTGCTAAGTTTCTCCTATTAAATATGGTCTATAAATAATATACAAATTGAAGTCTTAGACTTAGAAATTAGGCATACTGCCTGAACTCTGGGGGAGGAGTATTGGCAGAAATAAACAAATGATTTAAACAAAAGAACATGTCTCTTAATTGCCCTCTAAGCAAAACTTAAAAGGACAATGTGTACGAAATAGAGATCAGATGTCAGTTTTATTTTGTTTTTCCATTTTGGCCTTTTTTCTGGGATGTGGTCTGAGGCACACTAAATAAAATTTATTTAAGAAATCATGTGAAATATAATCTTGGCAAGAAATACATGGACAATTTTTGCTACACAGTTAGCAGCTCATTGAACAAAATGCACTGGCCTGTTTAAACATTCATTCATGTAGTCTAATGTGATCATTTATCACCTTCAAATGGACATGACATTGATGTATGTGCAAATGCTGGAATACCAGCAGATAATATAAACTGTTCTCTACACAATTCATAGTACCACTCATGGTACGATTTGTGCCCAAAGTTCTCATACACCTGTAATGTCTACAGTGTGAATCTTTTATGAGAGATTTGTTATTTGTCTTTCTATTGTGAAATAAAACTCTCCTGGCAGAGCTCTCCTAATGACACAGAATACTACATGCTAAAACTGAAAGGCCATTGTATTTTTTTTTAATTTACTGTACAGTAACGCCATGCTACAAATAAGGCTAATATACCTGACTTGCTCACAATGGTATTACATACTATATGTTGTATTCTGCCACATATGCAAATGAAAATTAAAGCAGTTTCTGAATGTAGTATCGTCTGAGTCATTAGGAGAGAAATCTGTGCTTCATTACCTGTCTCATAATTGTTTTTGTACATTTTCTTCGGCTTTGTTTAAATATTCCTTTTACAGAAACAGTTATTATGTGCGGCTAGCATTACCTGTTGAATAGCAGACTTGTGGTTTTCACTTCCACATTTCAAATGTGGTATTCCACTCTAACCAAATCTATTAATATGTAGAAGCATGACATGATGGTTTCTGGTCTAAAATGCATAATGTTACATCATTTCGGTGTTGCATAAGAATGCAATATAAAATTATAGTAAAATAGCTGGCTCAACTTCCCCCAGGTCTTTTGGCTCAAATTACCCCATCCCTGCCATTTTAACAAAATTGTGTCATCCAGCTGTTTACGGGTAAAGTCTGCTAACAGTATAGCCTCATATTCTAACTTCCTAAAGCACTAACATCTGCGTAAGATTTTGCAAACCTGTCTGTAATTGTTCAGACACAAGAATCACGCCTCCTTGAACATAAAAAAATCACTTTGAACGGCAAAAAAATGTTTTTTAATCTTAATTGTGCTTGTAACTTATTCCATGGGCCTTTCTCCTTCACAGGCTGAGTAAAATGGATGACTCTTCAAAAATGTGTGGTCACATGACCAATTTTGTCTATGGTTGCTGAGATACAAGGGGTGGCTCTACATTCTCCACAGGCTCAAATCACCCCTCTCTCCCCTAGATATTATTAAGATGTTTTTTTATATTTCACATTAATTTATACAGTACCACACTATAGCTAAACTATATTAATATGATTAGCTAAAAACAAGCTGGAAGCTTCTCAGCTACTAACGTTAGATTCAGGAGCTTTACTTCATTTTCCATCTCCTGTAGACTCATATTTCAATGTTTTGGTCTCCACAATTATTCCAGTTAATGTTTGCCTATATATCAGGAGTTTATCTGATTTGATAGATTAATTATCTTATCTGAGTGTCTGGCCTGCATGCAATCCAAAGTTTCCATGGATGTTTAAAGATAACATTACCTCTTGGCACCAACTTGGAGAAATCGCACTTTAAAATCCTGTCTGACACCAGAAATTACACAAACACACTTACATTTCTCTGAAATGTGACCTTTCACCAAACCACTTCCTCACTAGGTTAGTTCACCATTGTCTCTGGTACAAATTGGTAACACTTTACTAAACCAACTTGTAGAAATCCCACTTAAAAATCCACTTAAACAGTACGAATGACACAAAGAGTGTAATTTCTCTGAACTTTGACCTTTCACCAAGCCAATTCCTAATTCACCATTGTCAAAGCATCTGCTTCCTGGATCCGTGGTTGGATAGTGAAATGATATTCCTGAGTTCCTATTTTCACCCACAAACAGATGGATACGTAACTGCAAACCTTTTTTCTAACATTTGTGCAAATGTTCTTTATGCCCTGAAATTATTTGTATAAATATTTTTCATTTGTTCACAAAATGTCATGTGCAGCTACAGATCTTACAGATTGAAAAAAGGAAATCTGTTTGTACAGATATTTTTTACACATTCAAACATTTGAATTAATTTGATCAAAACGTTTTTACACATTCACACATTTGTATGTACAAATACAAAATGTTTTGTATGCTCTGTATTCTTGTTCTTTGTTCATGATTATGTTTTGTTTGGTCACTCATGTATTTGTTCCATGTTTCCTGTTTTATTTTGAAGTCATCTATCTCTGTTGTTCGTGTCTTGCTTTGTTTCCTGTCAGTCCTGTTTTCGTAATGTTTTACTGTGTTCATTTCATCACACTGCCCTCTCTGTTTCTCTATGTACATAAGTCTGCGTGTTCTTGTCGGCTCGTTAATTCTGTTGAGTGTTTCCCTCCTGGTTTTGGATTATTTATTCTGTCTTGATTGAAGTTTCATCACTAGTTACAACAAATATGACTAACTGTGCCTGCTCTGCCAGGTGTCCTGCATTTTGGGTGCAAATCCCTTGTTACCTTATCAAGTCCAAGCATAAGCACACAGCATACAGCAGTACTGCTTACGGAGTACTTACTAGGGTTATGATGACTTCACAGGTTAAACTTTCCTGCAGAAGCATTGGCAGAAAAGTTTTTATAAGTCAGCATATTGTAAAAGTAAGTGAAAGATCAACGTAACTTTCTGTGAGTGAAAAGCAAAGTTATGGAACACTGTAAAGAATCATCAATTAAGCAGCACATTGGCATTTTGTTTTTAGTAGTGTGGCATGTGTAGTGTGCTAGAGTTCAGACAGCCTAACGTTCATAAAACATTTTTGTGTTTTCCAAGATTGCTAAAACACTTTTTGCAAATAAAAGCTGGTGAAAGTTGTTGATCAATGAATGCTGAGATAAATTTAACTGAGAGATAACATAAAGATGTTACACAGAAAAAAGTAGGAGAATGAAGTATCTGGTTAAATAATCATCAATCACCTAGTTCTTTCTATGATATAAAAAAAAATTTAATTGATGCTTAATCCTTCCTGAAATATGCAGTCCACAGGGTTTAAATATTAATTTGCGTTGTTTAAAAGGGCATCTTCCTGCTGCATCTCTAAACTGAAACTCAGCTCCTTGAACATGACATAATATTGCAGAGTTTGGATTATTTCAGAAGGTCCTCCTTTTAGCTCTTTCCTTCCCCAATTTTATTCTGCCTATTCACTTTGCCAGTGTATTATTTACCCAGTCAGATCCAGAGCGACACTCTAATACAGACTGGATCTTTCAGGCTGACTCTAACCTCACCAAAGATGAGCAGCTGAACCTAACTCTGCCCTGGGAGGAGGATGGGACCTTCAGCAAGTGTCAGATGTTTGTGCCTGTTGACTGGGACATTGGTGCCATCAGGATGTATGGACTCAATGAGACCACAGGGTGTCAGAATGGATGGGTGTACAGCAATACACTGTATGAGGCCACCATTGTCACTGACGTAAGTGATAGGTTTGTCTTATTGTCAATAACATTACATTGTCTTATAAATTTATCTCTTATTAACCACTTGGTTGTTTTTTTCTACAGTTTGATCTAGTTTGTGAGCATGCTAATTTGTTGCAAAAGGCTCAAACAGTGTTCATGGCTGGCATTCTTGTTGGTTCTCTCTTATTTGGACCTATTGCTCAATCGTAAGTGTCCCTTTTGTGTAGAATGTGTGTGTAAAACTTGTTTAATTAAAATCCATCACACACTTACACAGGTTATATCACATATGCTGACCAGAGGGGTTTTATCTGTTCCAGGTTTGGTCGTAAACGAGGAACTCAGATTCCAGTCATTGTGATTCTCATATTTTCTGTAACAACTGGATTCATGTTGAGAATAGGCCATGGAGGTTATCCAGTGAACAGCGTCATACTGGGTACAGTATACTCCATCATCTTACATTAGATATCACAGCTTTTTTCCCTTTCCATTACCACCCAATCAGTTGATTTATGA